GCGCTGGATTGGACATAATTTTCAGAAATCACTAAGCACACACATTGTGGAAATCACCTAACTGAATCACAAGACAAGCCATAACTTGGAATCCTCAAGGACAAAGGACAGGAGGAAGATCAAACAACAAATCACGCCGATAATCGGAAGCAGACATGAAAGGGGTGAACAGCAATCGGGGGTAGAGCTGGTAAGGAAGGCTCAGGACAGAGTGGGTTAGAGAATGCTTGTTCGTGAGCTATGCTCCATGAAAGGTAAAAGTTGGTTTGTTCTCTACCAGTGTTAGTTCAGTGTTGATAATGTCTGACCGATGAATCTTGAGTAGCTTCAATGTAGACAACTGTTTGATTGATACACTCATGTATTTCTTGCTTAATGCATATTCAACTGTCAACTTCATACAATCGAATTAACTTAACATTTGTATTGAGAATTCTGATTTTGGTGTTTTTTTTTTGTGGCTGATGATAAATAGTTATGTTTTTCTCGATTCCATAAATCTTTTCCAAATAAAATTGTCTTCATCTGACTTATTTTTACAGGTTGTTCAAAAAGCATTTAGCAGTGAAGAACTTACACAAGAAATGGCTAATTTAGAAGGTTTAATGAAAGATTTGAGTGCAATAGCTAAAGAAGAATTTAATTGTTAATTAGTTTTGTTTTGTATTTTTCGTTTTTCAAAAAAAAAACTGTTTACTAAATTGCATTTTTTTTTCTCCCTTCATGAGAATGCATTCCCATGTACATGTACAATTTTGGCCAATGATGGGATGATGATATGATACACTGAGATTTGTTCATTCCTCTCTCTCTCTCTCTCTCTCTGTTCGAGACCTTACTACTCATTGATATAAACTGAAACATTCTTGTAAATAAATAAAATTCTCTTTTTTTTTGATAGGAAATATTTGATATTTTCATTATGCCACATATATGCGTGTGTACAAAGAAAACCGCCGCCACCTCATCATCATGCTCTCAACATCTTGGTTCTTCTTCTTTTCATCCTTGTTTATACTGACTTCAATCGCCTCCCAAAAAATCTGTGACATTAATTATTTTAAAATTTATTTTATTATGTTCATCTATTTCTATCATCATTCTTAATGATTGTCGCTATGGAAAATTGTCAACTTACACACACTACTTTTACTCCTTGTGCAATTTCAATAATTTGTTCTTCCTCTTTTCCTATTTAGTATACAACACATAATCCATTCATGATACTTTCAAATGAAAATGCCTGATTCAATTTTGCGGGGTATTCTTTCTCGATTTTCAGATTTATCCTTTTCTTTACTTCTTCTTGATTAGGCATTTATTTCTTATTTATAAACTACGATACTCGGTGTACGTTGTTTTCTATTGATGATTTACACTTACTACTCTTATTCTAAAATAAGTAGTATAAAATGCATTACACAAAAACCGTTTTAGGCTCTATTAGTGTCAGGAAACTAATACCATGATTGTTTTTGCTGTAGGTTTTTTTTTGTTCTCTTGTTATGGTTTGTTTTTTTCGGAGTTTTTGTTCTATTGCATAATGCTTAAATAATACAATTATGTCAACTACCTTTGTCATTGTTGATTTTTATACTGCAAAAGTTCCCCTCATTACCTATCCATCTCCTCTCTGTATCTCTCTTTATCCCAATGTTTCTTCGTGTACACTTTTTTAATGTATTTCGTTTTTTTTTCAAATTATTTTTTTCAAAATAACCATTTATCCTCTTGTAAAGGAATACCATATAAGAACTAAGATAGTAATCATGATGTGTATTTTTTTCGTTTTGTTTTAATCTTGTTTATTTCTGCATTGTGCATACATCTTATTCTTGTACAGATTAACAATACAATACATTATTATTGTATTGAACATTGAAAGTTTCGTTTGTTGATTTCTGTTTTTTTCTTTTTGAATTTCTGCGCATCAATTAATTAATTATTGAGTAGAGATAAAACGTTTGATGATGAGTTCTAGTCTTTGTGGGTGGATAATATCAATACTTAATTATGACGAATGCTGACATCACTTTGGTCATATTTTATTTTATCTTTCAAAGTATGTGTAGATTAGTTGGAGAATTTTTTGAATTCAATAATTATTACTTCTTGTCAAATTGTTTGCTGACGTCAATCTACATCTTTAAAAGCATTGCTTGTGTATCCTCGGTCAACCGATTTAAGCAATGCTGTTGTTAGGAGACGAGCACTAGGTAGGGATGGGAAATCAATAGATGAAGTAGTGAAACATCATCAGTTGAGGTGGTTGGGACATGTGTTACTTATGCCTAACCATCGACTGCCGCGACGAGCTATGTTTTCAGATGTAGGAGTAGTTTGCAAAAAAGCTATCGGCGACCAAACCAAAACATGGCAGAAATCCATGAAGTCACTGACAAGTGAACTGAGTCATGTTCGTAAATGTAGGCTACCTTCTGGTTGGGGTCCGCGAAACGAAAGTCACCATTGGTTAGAGACCTTGAACGACATGGCTCAGAATCGTTTGCGATGGCGCAGATGCATCCACTCTTTGTGTTCTCTCAAATTCTGACCTTCTGAATTCCTCATCATCTCTCTCTTTGTCCTTCTAAATTTATCTTACTGAATCATACTTCTCGATCTCCGAACCCTAATCTTTTCCATTTCTGATGATTCTTCTGCCATCGCTACCAGTATGTGATTTTAATTGACATTTGCGTCTCTGTGCTGGTGTGCTACGGCACTCTGAACTTATGTACGTGCGTACGAAGTTTAACGTTGTAACTTGTTCACTGACTGACTGACTTAAAAGCATAAAATACAAAATAAGTTCATATTATTTGTTTTTTTTTTAAGTTAGTTATGCAATCTTTTATTTCCTTATCTATTCAGTATCGTCTCAAAAGTCATATTATGTATGGAATTATAATCAGTTTCACTTTTTTTTTCTAGCTTGCATTAAAAAGATTCACCTTACTTAGAAAACTGTTGAAAACTTGCAAATACTGGAGTGCTATTGCATCGGTAGTGCGAAACTCCTCCACATTACATATTCATGACTACACACTGGTACTCTAACTGAAGATCTTCAAGTAGAACGGTGACTCAATTGATTTTCAACGGTTAACAATAATTATTGAAACCATGAATCGATCATTGTTAGACCCTCATTAGAAACCTGGAAGCACTGAACGGCCGTTTCGTCCTGGTATGGGACTCATCAGCTGTGCGCATCCAGGACTCCTGCAACTCGCAGTATTCGAACCCAGGACCTTCAGTATTGTGCGCGAACGCCCTAACTTAATAATCTTCACAACAACCCCGCAATGCGGTAAAAATAATAATAATTTTAATCAACTTAAGATATTGTACATTCTTTGAATGATATTCGTGGCTGGCAGCCTAACATCTGGTATTAGTCTTTTTTAATTTTTGTATGGAACTAGAAATTTGTCGTTAAGTTGTCCGATCCGATCTAAAAAAACATACACTGTGTGATCTTCTACCTCATATGTAAGCACGACAAGGAAGCCATGTTGGAAAAGCTAATGAAAATATACACAACTCATTAATGTGTATATATATTCACCAGATATTTGGACTAATTGCTGATGAATTGCATGAACGGTTTTAACTAACTACGTCATGTCTAGATTCTTTCAGTCTATCAAAATCATGTTCAAATACTTTTTTCATATGATTACACAATGAAACGAATTAATTATATTCTGATTTTATCAGTGACAAATTAGTTCATAGAAATAATATTATTATTCAGGATAAAAGTAAAAGAAAATGCAACTACAAATCTTGTGTAGATATATCAGTAAGAGGAACCGATTTTGAAACTAACTGACAGTTGAATTGAACTAAACTACTGAGTTAGATAGATTATTAATAGATAAGTTTACCAAATTAATGGAGTAGAGTTTCAAGCATTCAACTGTTAAAATAACGTTTTTAGAAAGTTAGCCGCAAAGAATGTGAAATTAGTCGGTGAATGATGCTTCCCAGTTAGTAAGGTTACGTAGTGTTATATTTCTCTTTTTGTTACAACCCGACTATTCCTAATGCTTAGTATTCTCGGACACCAATTCACTCAAAAAGTTCTCCCAAATCAGAACACAGTTGAACAGATAATAAATTATATTCCAATAGCAAGGTCAGATGGAAGTCCGAAGTTCATAACGTTAGTATATTTAGTTCTTTACACGCGAAGATTCTAGAATGTTCCTCCAGTATCGACTAGCGCGGATTGGATACGAAGGAATCAATCATCGTGCAACAACGCAATCGTGTTTGGAACATGCTTTAATCTAATCTATGTCCAGCTAACACGTAGATATATTTTTCTTAAGGGAAACTGAAACCCTGGTCAACGTGAATTGATGACCACAGAACTAATGGAACACCTGTTTAAATCCATCTGAAAGTGACCTATGCTTATTGGCTAGTTGTAATGGTATTATCTTCTTACATTCTAACCGTTATCGCTTTCACTAGACATCCGTATGCCGAAATGAGATGTAGTCTTTTTCAAGTGTGATTTCTACTATTATTTACTGTACAAAATAAACATTTATCTTGACTACGAATGTATTATTTTACTCACTAATCGTTGTAAAAATCTCTTTCCAACAATCATAAATTACTGTCATTCATTGAAATAGTAAACCTAAGTTAGACCAGTATTACAGGAAACCTTTAATTACTGGAAGACTGTGTTTCGACTGAGTTTAAAACTTATTAGCATTGTATGTGTGTGAGCGTGTATTAAGAAGGAAACTTGTTGAAATATTCCATGATGAGAATTTCATATTGTACCCCCAAACAAACGATACTGAATAAATCTATTATTAGTATCCACGATCTTACACACGCTGAAATCTTACCCCAGATCTCAAGTGCAAACACTTGACCTCTATACTACTTTATTATCTGATATATGGTAGATATATTTTTCTGAAGGGAAAATGAAACCCTCATCAACGTGAATCAATGACCACAGAACTAATGGGACATCTGTTTAAATCTATCTACAAGTGGCCTATTCTTATTGGCTAATTTTGATGGTATTAGCTGCTTACTTTCTAAACCTTATTGCTTTCGCCAGACGTCAGTATGCAAAGCGAGATGTAGTCTTTTTCAAGTCTGATGTCTACTATTTATTGTACAAATTAAACATCATTTATCTTGACTACGAATGTATTATTTTCTTACTGATAGTTGCAAAAATCTCTTTCCAACAATCATAAATTACCGTCATTCATTGAAGTGTTAAACCTGTCTAAGTTAGACCAGTATTACAGGAAACTTTTAATTACTGAACGACTATGTTTCGCCCGAGTATAAAACTCCTTAGCATTGTGTGTGTGTGTATGTGTGTGAGCGTGTATTGAGAAGGAAACTTGGTGAGAATTTCATATTGTACCTAAACACACGATACTGAATAAATCTATTATTAGTATCCACTATCTCACACGCTGGAATCTAACCCCAGGTCTCAAGTGCAAACACTTGACCTCTAGACTAGTTTATTATCTCATATATGGTTGTAGTTATCATACTTGGTGTGATTTATTTTTTATAAGGTGCTGTTGTTTTCGCTGGATTTTTACCACACATATAATTCACTCGAGTATGGACTAGTAATTTACAAATGTGGTAGGCAATTCGTGTAATCTATCACCACTCACCTATCAAAATTATACACTTACATGGATGCGCACTGCTGATGTGTGGTCCCATACCAGGAAGAAACGGCCATCCAGTGCTTCCAGGTTTCTAATGGTGGTCTAACAATGATTGATTGATGATTTAAAATGCGTAAAAACACAAACCTCCAAAACTCTGACCCAAAATATCGTAACAGTCCTCACTAGTGACTAGCTTCGTGAGGAAATTCTCGGAGTTCTAGTTGAGAACACGTGACCAATGGAGTTCAACCCTGTCGGGTGTAGGCAGTAACTACCAAAGACAAAATGGGTGAGGTCGCGCAAAATCCCTAGATCAATCAGAGTTAGACATTAATACTTATCCTTGTTTGCTGGAAGGGAGCTATTGTAGTGATCATCAAGACAGAGATATATGGAATCTTTACAACCCCGTAATGCAAATTACATAGAGTTGTTGAATTTTGTGTTCAAATAATAATACAAGACAATTTCTTGTTGTTTTTTTTTAAAAAAAATAACTTTTTATTCCATTAATGTATTTTGAAGCAAATTAAAAGTCATTACTCGCACACACACACACACACATTAGAAAAACTACATAACTAAATAACTAACTAATTATAAGATGTACTAATTGTTTTTTTGGTATATTGAAAATTGAACAATTGTATTGTATTGTTTTGTTTTGTTTGAATTGTTAAGTTATGATGAATGATTATTTTTCACTTTCAAATTAATAATTATGAACGTTTCACATTGTGATGTGAATACAGTTTTCAAGTAATTAATAATCAACGTAACAAAATTGAGACTTGTTGATTCCTTATAACAAAGAAATTATGTTAGAAAAGAGAAAAAAAGAGAATTTAGAGAAACAGTCAGTTACAGTGATTAAATATTCATTAAATGAAGTTTTTATTATGATAACAGAAATCAATACCAAAAATTACTGAATAGTGTCTCGTTTTAGTATGTGACTCTTCAATATGATCATATTTAAAAAAACTTTTTAGGAGATTGAACAAATGATGATTTATAACTTCATTTCATAGGATAATGATGAGAATATTCATTGAAATAATGAATCAGTCGGTCTTTTCATCCTAGTATAGGACTCACCAACAGTGCGCATCTATGATCGTTTCGTTGGATAACAACCTAGTAGTCTAAAGACTAATAAGCATTCATACATGAGACTGAAAGTTTTGGGTTCAACAACTCTTACTTAAAAGATTGTGGACGCGCACTGTTGATGAGTCCCGACCTAGGACGAAATGGCCACTCAGTGCTTGCAGGATTCCATCGGTGGATTGATACTTAACTCACTTTCATTTAACTGATGAGTTGTATAAGTTTATACCTCGTAATATAAGTCAAAACTTAATCTAAAGTTCTGTTAGTTAAATTGAACACGAATTTATGCACAACTTGATATAAAGGAGTGATCGTAATGTAAATACTCAAATCCCCGGCTTTAGCTGCTACCATGACGTGGTGGTCTATCGTGATGAGTACTAGGGCAGAACTAGCGCTCTTAGACTGGATCCCAGTAGATAGTCGCTTGTGCGCTGTTCGACTAAACGGGACAGTAAGAACTCGGAAAGATAGAGAAACTCGCCGTTGCCTCTTCTTTGTCTTTGCCTACCCTCCTACTAACTGCAGTTCAGACGAGGTTAAGGATGAGTTTTACAGAAAGCCTTTAGAACTCATCCAAAATGTTGGGCGCTCTGATACGGTAACAGTGGCTGGTGACTTCAATGCTCAATCAGGTAGAGAAAGTGAAAAGGAAACACCAAGGTGGATGTTTCGGTGTCACGGCTGATCGAACAGATAATGGCGACCGTCTGCTGAAACTATGCTCAGACAATCGCCTATTTCTAACAAATACTAACTTAAGGCGCAAGAAAAAACATCTCTTGACATGGCCATCCCCAAAGTTGTCCGAACGCTAGAGCCACCTAGATCACATTGCTATCAGTCACCGATATAGGGGTTCAATAGAGGACTGTCACTCGTCCTGGAGCACATGCTTAGATTCAGATCATGCTCTAGTGCGAGCGCATATTAGTTTGCGGCTTACTGGACGTTGGAAAGACGCTGCAAGGAAATATATTAGGGTTCTGCTTCATGAAAGCAAAACTAAAAATATATTTCAGGAACAACTAAAAGCAGTCATGTAACTGATACTCATGCCGAGACAGCTACTGTGGAAACAGCAGCGATATCTGCTAGTAAGGTAAAGCATAAGGTTAGGGATAAACAGCGGATTACAGTAGCACTTACCGAACCTATGGATACTAGGAAACTCATATAGTCTGACTCTAAACATGACGAAGAGCGGAGTTAGCTTAAGCTGATAAATAGTCTACGCAATAATTGCGAACAGTGATGGGTAGTGAAAGTAAAAGCGATGGAAGAGGCAGCGATGATAAGTAACAGTAGACAATTGTTCCGCCTTATCAAAGGAAGTGGTACTAGGAATTCATCTGTTAGCGAAACTATCTCAGAACAGGATGGACTTATCGTTCTTCTCAACCCAGTATATTGAGTCGATGGGTAGAACACTTTAGGGAGCAGTTCAACTAGCTTTCAGCCACACTTCAGTTACCTACGATCTCCAATTAACCTGACTGGCAAAACGGTCTAAGTCCTCCTAGTCTTTATTAAGTTGAAAGGGCTATAGTGAATCTGAAGAGATGAAGAGCTTTGGAGCTTGACATGCTTACTTCTGAGATTTTTAAGGATGGTGGTTCAATTACAGTAGTAAGATTGACTTAGATATTAGTTAGAATCTGGAAACGGGGCATAATCCCATCCGACTGGTATCAATCACTGATTGTCCCAGTCTTTAAGAAAGGGCAAAAGTCCTCTTGTAACAATCTCAGAAGAAGTCTGACTAATATAGTATCTAAATTAGGGTCTGAATAACTAGAGCTCTTGAAGAGCAGACTAGAGAAAATCAGGGTGGTTTTTGGCCTGGACGTGGATGTATAGACCAGATATTTACACTACATCATATCTTAGAACATAGACACTCGTTCAGACTTCCCTCAATAGTAGTATTTCTCGACCTTAAAGCGACATTCGACTCTGTCGGTCATTAGGTTCTGTGGCAGTGTCTGTCAGTAAAAGGTGTACCGAAAAAGTACATTGACCTTGACTGCATCGTCGAGTTATGTTTTTTGATGTAGGAGTAGATTGGACGAAACATGGGGGTGGCCAAACCAAAACATGACGTAAATCCATAAATTCACTGATAAGTGCATTGAGTCATGTCGGTAAGTGTAGACTACCTGGTTAGGGTACGCGAGATGATATTAATCGATAGTTAGAGACTTTGAGTGACATAGCCCAAAACCATTTGCAATGGTGCAGGGGCGTCCACTCTTTGTCTTCTCTCAAATTCTGATCTTCTGAACTTACCTTAATCTTCCTTTTTTTAAAAATTTATTTCATTGAATTACACTTCTTGCATAATTCCTTTGAACTCTGATCTCAATTACTAATAATACTTCTACTATTTCTACCACGATGGGATTTGAACTGGCAATTGAGTCTCAGTGATATTGTGGTATGGCTACTAGAACTTACTTTGCAACTGACGAACTGAAATATTCAAATCAACTATTTTACTCATTTCAGCCTTAACGAAGAATTGTTTATTTGAATAGAAGAATATTTGATTAAGTTTTGAATAAAAAAAATTTTAAAATTCATAATATTGTCAAAAATGATAAGGCTAAGATTGTTCAGTAATCTTAATTTGAGATGACAGGATATAGTTGTTTATAAAATGAGCTTGTTTAGCCATACTACTTAATAATAGTTAGTAAGAAGTTTTTTCTGAGTGAAAATGTTCGCAGTCTGCTCTGATGGATTTTTGGACGAGTGACACAATGTTTCAATTCATCGATTTCGACTCCCAATAGCTAATCTGTACTAACTTATATGGTTTAAGCTAACATTTAGTTATGTCATGAACTAGTAGTATTATATCTTGGTTTGAATACCTGTTCGGGATGACAGATCGCCAGAAAACAACTAGTAAATTTCTGCATTTTGTAATTTACTCATGGAAATTTGAATTACTTATTTTTTGCGCGGAAAGCGCTCAGTGTTACTTTCAGCTTGTTTTTCCCACTTGGAATGACTTTAAACATCACTGATTCGATTTCTTTCTCACCATACTATTTTGTGACTCTTTTCAAGGGCACTTTTCGTATTGTGGCCTTGTTGTGTCTTAACTATCGCAAGCATGACAGCACTCCTATTTTTCTTCTAACCGACTCGAGGTCAGGCTAATATCTACTCAACTGAGATCGAATTAGACCTATATTATTCATTCAATAACCTTAAATTTGCGGTTATTAGTTGGTTTCAACCAACCAGTCAGCTACAATGTAGAACTTCGTAGGAGTACGTAGATCAATTAAAGTTGCCATACCACATCAGCACACAGAGACATAGAATTGTCAATTCAAATCCCATAGTACTACAGGTAGTAAAAGTATGTTGATCTGCCAACTTTTTATAGTACCACCCTCTTAATATCATCATTGCTTACTCGATTATCACAGGATAAACGAGCAATGTCTCTAAGATACCTATGATCAAGTACTAGCAACCTATGAATATCCTTAACTCTTACTGGTCATGTTTCATACCTGTATAATAGGACAGAACGAACTACTGCGTAGTTAACTCATCTTTTGGTTAGCTAACGGATATTTTGCCTACGCCGTAAGTGACGTAAGCTGGTTCGCAACCTGGGATACTTCATTTGCCAGCATATTCCTGATATATAATCCATGAATTTGTAGAACGATTCCATAATTTTCATTTATCTTTATTTATTAAATTAGATTAATAATTTTTAAAAATTCTTAAAATTTTTAATTTACTTACTTATTTATTCATTAAATTATTTGTTTACCAAATTTACTATGACATGTCACATTCACTTTTCGCATTATTGAAGTAGACTCGTCAAAATTCATAGTTTCTGTATAAGGTGGACAATATAAATGTAACGAGATAGCAGTTTCTGTTTTACTTGGATTGTATAAACGATGTATTCCAATGTTATCTGAGAGGGAGAGAGACAGAAAAAGGAATATAGTAGCAAAGTGCTAATTGTTAAACTGTTATATAACATATTTCAATAAAACTCAAAATGAGACAGTAAATTCATCGAAAGAAAAAACAATATCAATTATTTTATTTATAGAGTTATGAAAATTTTCGAATTACCATGAAACCATGAAACCATGAATCGATCAATGTTTCAATGTTTCACTATTAGAAACCTTGAAGCACTGGATGACGGTCTGTTCGTCCTAGCATGGAACTCATCAACAGTACGCATCCACGACTCCTTCTACTGACAGGGATCGAACCGAGAAACTTAGGTCTTGCTCGTAGACACTTGAACTTCACAGCTGTGACCAGTGGAGTTCAGCCCTGTTCTAGTGTGAAACAGTTCTCACGGAAGAGGTTGAAAAAAACCGTAAATTGACCATAGTTGGACATTAACACCGTCGGATGCCGGTTCAGTGGTGCAGATGTTAAGAGCATTTACGCATTAGACCGAAGGTCCTAGGTGAGATTCCTGTGAGTAGCGACGGTGGTAGATGCGCACTGCTGGTGAGTCCCATATCAGGACGAAACGTTTGTGAACTTGGGCTTTCGGGACCTAGGGAACTGAGGGAATTAATGCTCCTTCAAGATTACACGTTCACCTTGTCTACAAGTATCAAACAGCATGAAACTTAGATATAGGTTCTCCTGTCGACTAACTTCAACCACTATCTAATATATATGAACATCAGTAATTCCTCTAGTTTCACGTTACATATTTTTACTACCAATGAATTAATAAAGGTATATATGACTGTCAACTTTTTTTCACTAACAAATATGATCAGAACTAAAATAAATACTTGATGACATCAATCCGTGATGTTAACTATGTTACTTCTAGGTTTATGGACTGAACTAAATAACAAGTTAAGGGTTTGAATTGGTAGGTATAAGATCCGAATCACGGCAGAGACATCAACATGGAAGAAAATATATCCATTTGTGACGAGTCCTTGATGTGATGAAACGGGCGTCCAAGAATTCATCACTAGTCATTATTTCTGTTAACTTGGTATATCTATAAGTGTTCTTGAATTAAAAACTTACTCGTTAGTAGTCAGTGTTCTGAACAAGTCTTCAAAAAACTTACAAGCCTTTATATATATATATATATATATATATATATATATATATATATATTGAAGTTAGACATAAACACCGTTGGATGCCGACCCAGAGGTCCAGAGGTTAGGCGTTCGCGCACAAGACCGAATGTCCTGGGTTCGAATCCCGTGCGTTGCAGGAGTCGTGGATTCGCACTGCTGATGAGTCCCATACCAGGTCGAAACGGCCGTCTAGTGCTTCGAGGTTTCTAATCGTAGTCTGACGTTGATCGATTCACGGTTTCAAATATATATATATATATATATATATATATATATATATATATATCATCAAAAAAGTGCAGATTTTGAGAGCCTAGTGATTGAGTAAGAAGGAGTTTTTTCAAATATTTCGTGTATCTGAACCGAACCCTTTTAACTTGGACGTAACGTGAATCAATGTTAATCAGCACAAATAAACTATAACTCCTCTCAGCTGGTCAAATTTAACCGAAAAAGTTTATTCTGATATTCGGATTCCATCGACAAATTATAGAACAGATCACTGAAACACAAACATTCAACTTGCCATGCATGTAAGTAACTTCACCAAGATTCATTAATCCCATTGATTTCACGACTAATGGACAATCCGACTGATTCATGAAAGAATTATTTGATTTCTCTGCATCGAAGTTTTTCGGCCAATCGAAAATAGTTTCTTTTAATTGACCTAAACGTGTAAACAATCAAACATTTAGTTAATATGCTTTAATTAAAGTAACAATACGTTTGTGAATATAACGTAGCAAATAAAACAAGTCAGTTTAACACGTACGGATTTGTATGCACGTCTTTGAATAGTACTCTTTTTATGTGAGAGATAATGAAAGTTTCGGAGAGTATAAACTTGAAAGGCGGCTATGCTTACATCCTACTTAAAGGTTGAAATGTAGATGAGATGTCATGAACAAGGCAGGCCGGTGGGATAGACAGACAGATAGACAGACAGATACAACGCAGAACTTCGAACGTAAGCACATCAGTTCAGGTTGCCATACCACATCAGCACAGAGACGCAAATGTCAATTAAAATCACATACTGGTAGCGATGGCAGAAGAATCATCAGTAATGAATAAGATTAGGGTTCGGAGATGTGATTCGAGAAGTATAATTCAGTGAGGTCAGGTTAGAAGGAGAAAGATAGAAATGATGAGGAATTCAGAAGGTTAGAATTTCATAGAACACAAAGAGTGGATGCACCTGCGCCATTGCAAACGATTCTGAGCCATGTCGTTCAAGGTCTCTAACCATCGGTGACCATCGTCTGGCGGACCCCAACCAGGTAGCCTACATCTACAAACATGACTCAGTCCACTTGTCAGTGACTTCATGGATTTCTGCCATGTTTTGGTCTGGTCGCCCCAAGCTTTCTTCCAACCCACTCCTACACCACAAAACATAGCTCGTCACGGCAGTCGGTGGTTAGGCATAGTTAACACATATCCCAACCACCTTAACTGATGAAGTTTCACTACTTCATCTATTGATTTGCCATCCCTACCTAGAATTCGTTTCTTAACGATAGCATTGCTTATACGGTTGTCCTAGGATACACGTTAAGTTGATGATGTATCTAGTCAAAGTCTCAGCTTCTTTCTTTCTACTTGTCTAGAGCAAAACCTTATGATTCAGTTCCTACTCATTTTTTTCACTGTACAAATTCTCCATTAGCAGTAATTCTTCTACTATCTTTATCACTATGGGATTTGAATTGACAATTACATCTCTGAGCTAGTGTGGTATGGCAGAATGAACTGATGTACTCACGTACGAAGTTCTACGTTGTAACTGACTGACTGACTGACGAATTTTAAAGAAATCACATTCCAAAACAATAAGAATTAATGACACTTGAGGGTTGATCAAACCACTGAAATGAATGAGGTAAGTCCACATAAATGAAACATATTGATTGAAAATCGAGTACTCTAATCACTAATTTTTCGTTTAGACATGAATGTAAGAAATGGGATCAGTTAGATAATAGATAATAACGTCAAACTTTAAGTTATGTGAGATGAATTTGGTTCATATTTATTACACATCACAATAACACCTTAAAAATGATCAACAGTGAAACAAACAACAATCATTTGGGCAAAACAAGTTGAATAAATAAGGTCCTGGGTTCAAATCCCGCGAGTAGCAGGATTTACGAATACGCACTGCTGTTGAGTCCCATACCAGGACGAAATGACCATGGTACAGTGCTTCGCGGATTCCAATTAGGGTCTAACAATCTAGTGAATTGAGTTCTACGTTACCACTGAAATTTCCAAGTCACAAATGATCTTCTCTTCTAAGACTAAGAGATGTGTCTACAATTGACTAATGACTAAATTTTGATTATCAAGTATTGTTTTTCTTTGAGTACTGATCGAGTGGCATGAAAAGTCATCACTTTAGTGAGTGAAAAGTTGTTATTCCAACTATGTTAATCTTACAGACTAATGAAGATTGACTGAATTTAGCCTGAAATCACCAATTCATCAACGTGATCTTCATTGAATTATACAATGGTATAAAGAATATTTCACACACAAAAACACTTTCAAACTAGAAGAGAGTTTATAAAATGACGACCTCATTTTATGGAATTAAAACAAAAATCCATGCCATTACCTTTGATAATTTTGACAAAACAATGCGATCCTGCATGATCATGTACACCTGTGCCTTCATTTTTATTCCAACATAATAATAAGAGATTATATTTTCCATTGCCTTCATCAATTAAATTACGTGTATATCTATGCATACAAATGTATATATATATATATTGATTGATGAGAAAATGAAAAAAATTACAGTATGAAAATGATGAAAACCGTTAGATTGTTCTATAAAATTCTATTCACTTCAAAGTCAGCTAGTTAGTTAGTTCTAATATAAATTTGATAAATTAATCCTCTAGTGTCAAGGGCACTATTACATTACAAGAATCAAGAAGATAACTCACGTGTTAGCATTTCGACATGGAGAGTTCGGCTCAATCGCGTATAGCAACTACACTGAGGTATCTGACACCCTGGTAGACCATTCACACCATTTATATATACACTAGTACATATATACAGTGATTATTTCCGAAACCATGATCACGTCGTCAATCCATATGCATCCCGCATGAACAGGCCATTTTGACCCATCCCGCTTATATGACTGTAAAACTCATTATTATTAGCAATGGTGATATGCAGCAATACAGTACCCTAATGACAATGCAAAACAACCACCAGTATCAATGAAATCGGTCACCCTGCTAACCAATTTTGTATATGGACTGATAGCGATGCTTGCCAAAGTAATGCCAAGCCATCCACAATGTTCAAAGTGAACTTCTGGTCTCATAGGAAACCTTCAGCTCTATATAGCAGTATAGCGTATGGTGTACACATATACAGATTAGGATAGCAGAAGATGCAGCCCAGCTTGATGCGAACAGGCCCAGACACTCCTAATACTCTTTGTCTCATGCCCAGTAATGATTTTTCCGTAGTTCCGAAATTTTCATTTTTTGACCGTACGAGACCTGAGTTAGTAGTAGTATCCGTAGTCAGGTCTAAGCAACATGTAATGATTATTTACTTACTAGTGTATACGTAGTATGTTATGTAATTTTTACGATAAGTTTTTTGTTCTTCATTTTACAACAGAATCATATCCATTGGATAAATGAATATTCGTATAGTTTTGTTGATTTCTACTCTAGTCTAGAAAATGAGGGACAGGATCATGGACGAGGTTTTGTAGGAAGCAGTCAGTAAGCTCAAAATCGGATGACATTTTCGCATTGAAAATCATGTAAAATAATTGAGCAAATCATTTACAGAAGCGTTGTTTGATTATAAACAAAGCTATAAAACCACTGTTCAAGCGTTTGATATTACAATTCTTGCTGTGATAGATGTACGTACTGGTGTTGTTGTCCGATGGTGAAAGTCACAACCAGCATATCAATGACGTGTTTACGCGCATTCGTAACAACTGGCGACGGAGATGGGGTCACAGTGATCCTTCAAGACTTGAATTATTTCTCGAGCAGCAGCTGAACTAATGAAGATGTTGATGGATACCAAGGTGCATCGCGACACAACTATAGTGGATCAAGTTAATCTGACGTTGTGTAGTGCAACTGTCAACTAACCAGAGTATACGTGTCCCCTGCTACACTCTGTCCACCCCAATTCAGCTCAGTCTGACAGCCAATCAAAAAATTACTCGTACAAACAGCTAACATTAGCAGTTATCCCGTCAAGCATAAGAAGAAGAAGTCAAACCGCTCAGAAGTACCCAAGAATGGTCTTACATCCTGTACAAATTAGGTGAATAGCTTCATGCCAAAGCTCAACAACGTTTCTTATCATAATGATGAGAATTATCTCAGAACTATAGGTTAAATGTAGATTATAGAATTAAAATTCTTTCCCGACAGACAAATAATTTTTAAACAAACAACCAAACTAACTAACTAACTAACTTACCCTGTTTTATTAAAAAATATATATTTTTCCCATTCAGAAAAATCACATTCGAAATTCTCCAAAACAGTTTGTACTTTATTCACATCCACTTGATCTTCATCAAATAATCCTCTGATTGTTTGAATTAAATCTTTCAATGTAAAAACGGTAGACATTTTAGAAGTTTCATTTGATTGATAAACACTAACAGTATTTGAATGTTTCAACATTGTTCTTCAATGATCAATGTTACACTTGGTCAAAATAATTAGTTCCAGTTAAATTTTTACAAATGTTACAAATGTTATTTATAGTAATTTAGAATATTATTATTATAACCATGTAACGTGTGATGATACCATGTTATGAGTACATGGATTATTCTAACTTTTAGACGGACCAATTAAATTTTATTCATTTCGAGTCATTTTAACCACACGTATTTTGACCTTGTCAATTATTTACAGAATAATGTTGATGTGAATGTGTATATATGTGTGCAATATATATATTTTAATCTGTTCATCACATGTTACTCATTAGTTTATTTTCTGTTTAACTTTATATCAAAATGTAATTGATACGCTTGCCTGCTTTGATTCAACTGATCTTTGATAACCGCGTTCATTATAAAAAAAACGGTTAGCGTTTGGTGTGTAATATATACGGAGTGAAACGAAAGATTTATATTTATGGTATATTCATTTGTTCATTCAAACTTGAAATCAAATCATAGGCTATAAAAAAAATACGACATATGATTCGTATTCGTATTTGGTTATTTTTGAAATTGCTGGTGATTCGCCACTTGATTATATAACTAAACTATGTGTTTAAAACACATGTTTTGGTGTGAACTGGTGATTTGACAATAGGGAAAGAATAATAATACATTATTGAATTGTATTCAGTTCCATATGAAAGCAGTTATGTTATGTAATCTGATTATATTGACTAATTTGCTTATATATTGTCTGTACGAGGCCCACAATATGTTCCGTTACGCCAATTAGGCATTTTTATAACATTGAAAACAAATTCAAAGTGATCTAGAGGTCAGGCATTCATGCACCAGATCGAAGGATCTGGGTTCGATCCGCGGATTTGAAGTCATACACGTGCACTGCATCATGCTCCAACATTGCTCGACTCATGATTTAAACATAAATGAAAATTTAACTGATTGACCTCTCTCTCTCACCCAGTTAAACAGTTTATTATTTAATGTACGTGACTAGTTTACAGAAAAAAAACACTTGTGACACTGACTTGTTGAATGTTAGACCGTAAATTGTATCAGTTTTAAAAAGGTCATTTGTACAATCATGTATACAATTAATTATCCACTGACTGAGTCATTTTTTTCATTGAAATAAAAAACAGATTAGTGTTAGATCATTATAAGAAACTTGGGAGTATTAGACAACTGTTTTGTCCTAGTATAAGACTCCTCAGCAGTACGCATCCACGACCCCTACTCGCGGGAATCGAGCTCAAGTCCTTCGATCTCACACACGAACGCATAACTTTTAAATTATTTTTAAATTTCTCTTAATGTTACGCAAATATGTTATCGGTTTAATGGAACATGCGAATTAATATCACAAGATGTTGTGGAGTTTTTCAGAATTTTATCTGACTACATGGATCCTAACATTCAATGATTAAGCGATCATCGTAAGGCCTAAAGGTTGAATGTATGATTCATAGTTTGTGTCACGAGAACACAAACTTATTCAGTCCCATACTACAACAAAGCAACAGTCTACATTATACCTCTTTTCAAATAAACATCGTATGCCTTGACCGATTATTTTTAACTTCAAACTGTCGTTGAAATCATCAGATACAGATAAATGTCTTTCGCGACCTTGACTATTCAGTCCGATAGGAGAACATAGATGACCAATCATTTAATGTGAAGGTTAAGCAGAAAATGTCCCAATTGGGGTAAGCTGACGACCGAATTTGTTAAGAATTAAAACTATCTATTCATTCAACTTTCAATGTTTATTGAAACTTGAAAAAACACAACAAAACATCAATCACACAGAATGTGAATAGTTCCAATAGAGTTTATTCATCAACAATTATTATATCAGTAAAACAAATAAACAATATGCACAAAGAATGGCGTCAATGATCAATATTTTTCATACGCCTTCTATAATAATATACGTAATAATACAAAACAGAGTAAAGTACTAGACTTGACTAGCTGCAACAATAAAGAAAGAATGCTTGCCCACCTCAAGTGTCTTACTGATTTCATCACGACACAAACAAAATCAATACTTTCAAGTTGCGATTTGACATAATATGGTTAAAATATTGATTAAAACTGTATGAACCAAAAAAAAAACAATTTCAATATCCTTTTAGAAAACTGCATTTCATGTAAGAGAGAGAAGACGGAAAAAATGAATGAGCAGATGAAAAGCCATATTGCTATATAGATCTGAAGGTTTCCTATGAAACCAGAAGTTCATTATGATGAACATTGTGTATGGCTTAGTTATTCCACCAACAATTGTTCAATTAATCAAATCCAAAGCAGATAAATGATATTCTATCCCTCCTGGATAGATCAGATTCGTTCGACAGATAATATTTGGTTGCTTTATAACACAGAGTGTTTCCTATTCTGGAACAGTGCTTCAATTCACTATCAAAATGCACAATTCCAGTCAGTGTAAGCAACCCAATCATAGGAGATACAAATCATTATGGCTGTCGCCATGACTAAGTATCAGATTAACCAACAAAAATGCAGTTCAGAAAGAAACACAGAAACTCAGTAAAGGCATACAAAATAGAAACTATAATAAAATAAAAACATCATCTCGAAATTGAATCGAACAGATTTACAACTGAATGAATCAATAAGCACTTATTACAAGTGTATACTTGGAGGGATTTTCACAAACAAAGCCTTCAAAAATGGATCTTACAGTGTATATAAATGGTGTGAATGATCTGTAAGGGTATCAAGTACCTGTGTGGTTGTTGTTCCCCAGGATTGAACTGTACTATTCACATGTTATAGTGTTAACACCTGGACAGTGTCTGGTTCTCCTACAAAAACCAATGTAAAATAACCCTTGCCTATTATTGAAGATAAATTAATAAAGTCCATTCAAATAGATAAAAAATCTATTTTGTATCAAAAAATGCAAATATATCTAGCTTATTTTTTTTAAAAAAACAACAACGATTTTCTGTAATCTCGTTCAAATATCAATAAAATGAAAATTTTAATCACTCACCTTAAAAATTGGTCAATGATCATATTTTTTTTAAAATGCAATTAATTTTTTTTGGATAAATTTCGACAGTATTCTAAAAATAGAAATAAAAATTATCAAAATTCTGTGATCTAAATTCAAAAAAAAGCAACTAAAAATCAAATTGACCCAATATGATGAATTGGATAGAGGAAAAACATTCATCATTGTTTATTGCGACTTCTATGGTGTTGTTGTTGTTGCTGTTGTTGTACAATAGTGTTCGTTGGTGTGGATAATAATAATAATAATACTAAGAAGGTTTATTAAAACCATGATCATGTGGTGTTGTGGTGTGTGTTACTTATACGAACGATATAAGTAGTATAAGAAGGGACATGAAAGAAGAAGTCTCACGATCAGAAGAGGAAAACGGAAAGCAAATGGAGCAAACACAAGAAGTAAATGGACTACCAACAGGAAGGAAAGGAAGCAACAACAAGAATGGAAGAAGGATGGAGTGTTGGAAGTCACGACTCAAAGATGGTGTGCAAATAGAGTATTCGATGTAATGTTTTCGTTTTTAACTGACTCAGAGTGTAAATTTGCATAAAGCAATCTTCCTCGCCTGCTTCAGTCTTCTCAGTGTTGGACGTTCGTTATCTTCGAGTTTCCATATATCTCCGTTTTGATGATCGTTACAATAGCTCCCTTCCAGCAAACAAGGATAAGTATTAATGTCTAACTTTAATTGATCTAGGGATTTTGCGCGACCTCACCCATTTGTCTTTGGTAGTTACTGCATACACCCGACAGGGTTGAACTCCATTGGTCACGTCTTCTCAACTAGAACTCCGAGAATTTCCTCACGAAGCTAATCACTAGTGAGCACTGTTACGATATTTTGGGGCAGAGTTTTGGAGGTTTGTGTTTTTACATATTTGAAATCATCAATTAGTCATTGTTAGACCACCATTAGAAACCTGGAAGCACTGGATGGCCGTTTCGTCCTGGTATGGGACCACTCATCAGCAGTGTGCATGAGTTCGACCCTGTCGGTTGTATGCAGTAACTACCAAAGACCAATGGGTGAGGTCGCGCAAAATACCTAGATCAATCGGAGTTAGACATTAACACCGATGGATGCCGGCCCAGTGGTCCAATGGTAAGTCGTTCGCGCACAGTACCGAAGGATAAGTATGTTTGTTTGCGAAAAAAAAATAGGTAAAAATCAAAATATACTAAACTTATTCGTAAGATAGAACTGTCTTGTATGTACTTACGAGTAGGTGTAAGCTTGAGTTCATGTGTGACAAATTATCTATACATAATATTGTGTATGCTGGACAAATGAAGCTGAATACGATCAACATAAGTTTTTCCTTGAGAGGCTAGCTTTTTTGCAGTATCGTAGAATGTTTGAGAGTAATCGATTTAGGGTTCGGTTACATAGGCGTGAATAAATAATATGATTTCTAATGAATGTATCGTCGACATTAAAGCAAAAGTCATCGATCAAGCAAGTGGCTGTAACAATAATATGATGGAAGTTCCGTAAAGATCATTGTTGTAAAAATTGTGAACAATTATTGCTGCGTACAAATGTGATAAATGAACAATCGTTGCGTATTGGATGGATAACATAAGTTACCACCGATAAGTGTATGATTCCGAACTTATGTCAGTCCGTGATAACGTTGTAAACCGTTGCCAGCGTTGGCATAGTTGAAAACATACTATTATCAGTGTGCAGGAGGTTCGCTCGACTGCTTAGACTGATAATTCGAGTGCATGTGCTTGTCACCATATCACTACTTAGCAGATTGGAAGATGTTCGAGGTACGAGCAGCTAATTAGTAGGTTGGAATTATCTGTCGCACGATAATAATAGCACCACTGCTGTGATGAGTGATTCATAATACAGTGATGTGATATGAACTGGCTTCGTTACGTACAATGAATACGCGACTGTGCTGTCTGCATTGTTCATGCGGTCTGATACGTTGATTCATTCGTCTAATAACTTGGGTTCGAGAGTTTCTCCGTCCACGTTGCTCATCACGTTGCGTTTTATTCGATGTCGGGCTCACCATTTTATTGTGGCGTTAGACGTTCGTTATCTTCGAGATTCTATATATCTCCGTCTTGACGATTGCTACAACCAAATGACAATGTTGTGTTAAATAGTTCTGATAATTTTTGTCTTTCTACTACACTATCCATTCAGTAAACAGTAGTTCGTTGTTCGATTTCCAATAGTTTAGCAGCAAACGGTACTGGGTTCGAGTGATGGAGTGAATTTGAACTCTGGGGAATTCGGATGTTTATGGCATGTTTTAGATTTTGAACAAACTGATTAGCGTTTTCTTTCATTTAAACACTTCTTGATTCGGTCAATTATTTGTTTATCTAACACCTTGGTTGTTGTTTTTTAATTGAGTGCTTGTGTGGTTTACTTGTGGTTTACTTCACTTATTCATATGTCTAGCTTATTTTTGTCTGACTATAGATAGATAGATACTTAGTCACGCCTAATCACAGTGAGTTGGTTCATTTGTCTTCTCCACTTCAGTTCACTGTTACAGTTTTTACGCTTTACATTCTATTATCTGTCCACTTGTTTGAATGTATGAAGCGAATTCATATAAAATAAACTCTATTGAGCTTTTATAATAAATAACCTCTGTCACACAAACAAATTTCATCCTAACAATAATATAAGGAGATAAGATGGAAGATGGAAGCATTGTTTATCTAAATGATCAGGTCATTGAAGATTCCATATCAGTGATGAGACGCTATCACTGAGTCATTTGGACAGAAAGTGATCTTAAGATGGAGGATTGTCATATCTAGTATTGATTGAATTTTGATCAATCATCGCCTCATGAAATCCTCTGTCTCCTCAGTGATTATATATCTTCTCTCTATTAGAATCTTGATTGATTTTAAAGAGGTCAACAACTTTCAGATCCTCCCTCGGTCAATAAACAGATACATTCAACTGATAAATCTTTTATGAAGGATGAAACACACTTCCTGGATTCCACTGCTGGTAAACACATTCTATCATTTCTAACTAAAATCTACTGTATTTCCTTATTTCCATAATTCTACCTACATTCATGTAGTGAAAACAATTAGTCCTGTTAAATGTTTGATATCGTTGCATTTACGTGTTATTTTGAATTGTTGTGTTCAAGAACTTCATGAATTAATTGTTATCACTGACTAATCAATCATTCGTGCTTTCAATTAAAAAAAAAACCCCACAAAATCCGCCCACATACACGTAACAATGTGAAAACAACTGATGTGAATTCATTTGACTGACCGAATTCACATAGAATACTTCTTGATGACCAGATAACTCATCAGTTTTACTAGATGAACACATTTTCTAAGGTCATAAGTTCAAACTGTCATCACTAACAAGTAGAGTTCATTTTCGAAGTTGCATACTGAACTTTTTACCTCTTTTTGAATACACGATTACATGTTATTCACATCATTATTGTTCAATGATATGAACGACAAACATAATCCTATTTCATTGAAATCATGAACAAACTAGATTCTAGTGGAGAAGGAAATCAGGAAGAAGAGCTGGAAGTGGATAGGACATATATTGTGGAAAGAAATCAACTGCGTCACAAGACAAGCCCCAATTTGGAATCTTCAAGGCCAAAGGAAAAGAGGAAGATCAAAAACACATTATGCTGAAAAATGGGGGCACATACGAGAAGAATGAACAATAATTGGAAAGAACTAAAAAGGAATGCTCAGGACAAAGTTGGAGAATGCTGATCGGCGACCAATGCTCCACTAGGGGTAACAGGCGTTAAGTAAGTCAGTAATTCAAGTTATGTACCTATCACTGCTAGACCATGATTGGAAACTTGCGAGTCGGGCTCACAAATGCGCAATGCTGTTCAGGTCCATACTAGGATGAAACGGCCGTCTAGTGCTTCCGGGTTTCTTTCTAATGGTGGTCTAACAATCATCGATTCATGATTTCAGTGAAACCTAACAAACTCCACAACCCTATAACGAAAATTTTCCTATTTGTTAAGTTCAGATTTAAAATCAATAAAATTAAGTATCAGTGAGACCGTAATTTATGGCTGAATTAATCGCGTTTGAGGTAGCAAGTTTTGGATTTTGGAGCGATCAGAGAGGGGAACTGAATAAATTGCTTATCCTAGTATGAAACTTCTCCATAATAACTACGACCGCACGGTGACTCTGACTTAAAGTCGGTTCACCATAGAGTGTATGCCGATTATTGAGTTGACACCTAATAGTGCTTATTTATAACTTGAGCCTATTTGATATATTGCGTATTTATCAAACATCATCCGTCTCACTACCAGTATGGCTGAACTCTACTGGTCACTGCTTTTTAGTAGAATTCCAGGAACTTATCTCGAAATTATTCACTGGATAGGATTTTTTGGACACTGTACTGTACCTAATGAGAAAATCACCATCATGTGGAATTCTTACAAGGGTGTGAAGTGCAAATTCGGGCATGAAGTGCAAGGTAAAGACTAATGTCAGACACTTGTTTCTACTCTCGTCTTTTCTCTTTCATCTGACGGTTGGTTCAACCATGAAGAATTCCACATCTCAGGGGAAACACGACCTACACTGAACAGTTTGAATTCAGTTAGATGTTTTGAACTTTACATATGACCTAGCTTTTCCATCCAATACTCAATAACAGATGAAGGCGAAGACAATCAACAAACACATCGACATTGACCCAATTTATTAACCAATCAGAAAAATCCTAGGTGACGTAGGATCAACAAACAAATCAAAAAGGGGGATACAATCAAAAAAAAGGTGCAAACAATGACAGACTTCAGATAATCAACAACGAATCAAGATAGAGTTTACCAGAACAAGCTACGGGTTGAACGTGGAGAAATTAGAATACTTCACTTCTATCTGAAGTTTGTGCTGATGATGTTGTAAACTTCACAACCAAAACATCCAGCTCAAAGAACCAAACACCATCACGAAAACGAAGACATCCAGTGAAGTAACTGCTTCCTCAGTAACAGACCTCAACACCTAAAAGTCTATTTAACTACCGAATAATAAGAAAAAACTGCTCATCTGTATATATGTATTCACCTTCCTAGGGAAAAAGAGCCATTTTTTCTAACCAATAATATACATCCATCCTTTAGGATATTTCTGATGGTCATTCAATGATCTTCTCATAAGATCACTTCTCTGATTGTTGGATCAGTTTGATAATTTAAGAAGTTACACTCTTCTGCTCCACCATGGAGTATTTTATGTAAAAAAAGAAAATTCTATTCACTGAAACAATATTTATTCTTTTTCAGTGAGTAGTCAATACATGTTACAAAAGGTAATAATAGTATTTCAATTTTTATAATGCCATCTTCATGGACATCAATCAGACAATATCATTGATGAGCTTTTTTTTATTTATTTGTCTTACTAATAACAGTTTGCTTAAAACACGAATTTAAACAAGGATAAATCTATCTGGCTGTGTGTGTGTATATGTGTGTATGTGTGTGTGTCAGTGAGTTCACAAAGTTTATTATCATAATTAATGAAAAGGAAGAAATTTTATTCTACTCAGTAAATTTTCTTCTAGTCAAAATCGGCTTTATGACGCGCCATGTTTGTTTGCATAACATTGAATAATGAATGAATGAATGAATGAATGAGTCTTTTGAATTCGGAAAACATCAATCGAACACATTCAAATTATGATCTGCGTCATATTGTGAAGTGATTTTTAAAAAAAATAAATAAATAATTTTGTAAACAAATGAAATACCGTTAAATTTAAACATCCTAGATATTGATAATTGAAACAATTCAAGGTAAATAAATAAAAAAACTATATCTGTAATCATTCGCACAACATAGTCGTCAGTCAGTCATATGATAAATATCTATGTTTTGTCTTTTTTTTCAATAAAAAAATAAAATACTGTTTATATTGTAAGATTTCATAATTTATTTTGTGTATTTGTGCACCTATGAAAATATGTATATATATATATAAATATGTGTTTATATTTAATAAATAGCTTGTTGTATAATTTGCAGTGAGTGTTGATGTCAGCGTTGAATGTCCCCTGTTTCGTTTTCATCTTCTCCTCCTGCATCCACCTTCTTTATTGTTCATTTAGTGGTCTTTATAGGTTCTTTATTTTGTTGTTGTGTCGTGGTTTTCTGATCTATAGAATTTTCAATAACTTGACCAAGAGTTTGTTCCAATTGTTTAACTACTGACTATTTTAATGAGTAGGTTGAACAAAAATGAATAAAAAAATGGAATGAACAGTTGGAATGACTTTAAAACTTTAAATATTATGTAGAAACTAGTCAAGATAGTTTTAAATGATGTATTATTTCAAAGTTTCTAGGTTCAAATCTGGCTGTTTACTTGTTCGTTGATGTTTAAACTCGATAGTTAGTAAGCTAGTTATAATTAGTCAAGGTCAAGCATCGATTCGAGATTCTACACTTACTGTGAGGATGATTTGGAGAATAACAACAGTTATTACTGTTGAAATCCTCTATGCGGTACCCATTGTGATCAAGAAAGGGATGGAATTTTATGTCTAATAATTACAATGTACGAAGAAGTTGAGACTAGATGAAATATTTGTATTTGAAGAAGACAGTTTACTTACAAAACAAACATAGATTTGAACTACAAGTAGCTTATTTAATGTTTTCTCTAACACCCTTTCTAGTCTTCAATATCCTCTGATCTCCAGATACTTCTCTCCCTGGTAGTAACTTCTATGCAACTTTCCGCTCTATACTACTTATGTATCTCACCTTGTGAGTAGCATCCACCACACTATCTGTAAACCCCAGCAAGACTTCGATGACTGGATAATTATTTTTTTCTGTCACCTAATCTCTCATGGTTCCAGATTTGAAAGATTCCTGATAAATCTATATATACTACATTTTTTCTCTTTGTATTAGTTGCTTGAATGTTTCCATTGATGTGTAGAACTGCGATTGATCAGTCACTTCGGTATACATACATCATGTGATAATTGTCTCAATATTGCTTCTGGGTTACAAGCATCATTATCGGAGATTGATAGTGCATAGCAGTGGAACCAAAGAAACACGTTAATCCCTATTCGGGACTAGTTATCTTGACTAATCATCACTTCATAGCACGTGCAAGTGACCACCTGGACTCAGTAACTAAGTGGATAACGAGATGGCGTTTGAAGCAAACAGTATTGGATTCGAGTGCTTGAGTGAAGACTAACCTGAAGAGGCAGGTATTTGCAGTTTATAAGCCCCACATTGGACGAAACGTACGTCCTAAATTCCATTTCTAGTCACTACCCACTTCTGCCCTTACTTTTTTCTGCACATAAATTAACTCTAAAGCTTTTATTCTTACTTCGCCTATTTTCTTTAAGGTCCAACACTCTAGTTTAGGCTTATTTCATGAATCTAGGAAGTGGCTAGCAAGTTAATACTTAATATTTAAGTAGTAAAAATATAAATTCCAACAAAAATGTCAATATTGATTCATGAAAACGTTTCACACAGCTGTCAGTAACTGACTATTCATTTACACGTATTAGAAATTATTTATGCTATCAGATCACTGAGATCTATTCAAAACAAATTGATATACGTGTGGTCATTAAGATACAATGGTGAACTGAACGTATAGCCAGAGACAGAATGACAGTACAAACTAAGCTAATCATCTACGCCTAAAACCAGATAACTAGAGGAAGAAGTTCACAGTCAGCAGGAACAGTTGATAATCCAAAACAACGAACAAAAAGCATTCAATTCACGTGTAACAAATACATTAAGAAAAGTGCCCCTGAAAGAATCACGAAATTTTGTACTGAAAGAGAAAACCGACTAGTGATGTTTAAGGTAGCGAAAACAAACTGAAGCTGATGATATTGGGGGCATTTAGCGCGAAAATAAGAATTCCAAATTTCCATGAATAAATTACAAGATGAAGAACTTTACAAAGTAAATTCTGGGGATCTAGCCATCCGAACACAAACTGCTTAGATAACTAGACGACAGTAACATCTTTGACGGGTTAGAAAATGTGTTGAAAAGTACAATTTTATCTCTATTTGCCACTTTATACTCCAAAATCATAAGTTAGGATTATCATATAAAAGTCAATATGAAAGTTTGTATCTAATTCTATAGGATTGCAACTTATGAACAGACAAAATGGTTAGAAAGAACTATAAATTCAAAACAGTGGTTCCCTTTGATAAATTTGAATAGAGAAATAAGAAGACATATTTTGTGAGATAGTACCATTTCGTGCTTTCTCGTCAGTCACATACAAGCAACATGTTATTTGTGTAAATACAGTTTTGAAGATAAGGTCAAAATTTCTTATTTAGCATGACATTCACTCACTAGAACCATGGTAAACAAAGGTCAACATACAGTTGTTTTTGAACACATAAAGTTGGACTTTTACGACCAATCAAGATAGCTTCAAGTAGTTTTAGTGTGTGTGGGTTTTGATTACATGTCACAACTCTAAAGGCTGATTTTGGATCAATTTGATGACCACTCATCATTAGATGTTTTGCAATGGACGAGGCTGGGTTTCTTGATCGATTTTGAAATGATGGGCTAGGTTGATTAATCATGGATTTGATTAACCATTTTGGAATATGTTCCCCTATCCTGTCTTCCAATCGGCGATCTGTCCTCCCTAAGTAACTTTCTCCGCAGTTACATGTGAATTGGTAAATACAGTGGGATTTGGACTGAATCGGTCTTGGAGACTTGATTGGGGTAACTGAGATCGATTGAGTTGTTGTGATGAGCCTCAGATTAGCTGCATTGAAGGTCTTTTTTATTGCAGCTGCAGTCTGTTTGGTTGTAATTTTCATGCAATGATCACCTTTGAAAGGTAACTGTAGGTACACTGGTTTCTTGGGCACATCAGTTGCTATCAGCTTCGTCATAGTTGTGTTCTGATGACCAATAAACGTTTCGGGATATCCGTTTGATTTAAGTGTGTCAGTAATAAGCTTGAATTCGTCGTTCAATGTATCAGCAGTGCAGATTCTACTTGCTCGAGCGAATAAACTTTTGACAACAGAACGTTTATATTGTATGGGGCAGAAACTAGTGAAGTGGAGGTACTGTCCCGACCAGGTGGGTTTGCGGTGTACTTTTCGCCTGATTGATCCGTCTGGACGGCGATGGAGCAGGATATCGAGGAAGGCTAATTCATTATTCTTTTCTTCCTCATAAGTGACTTTCAGATTCGGGTGAATCGCATTAAATAAATCATTGATTTCATTAATGTCTGTAGAATGTGGTAATATGACAAGAATATCGTCGACATATAGTCAGTCATAACTCTGGATATTATCAATCGACTTAGCTTTCATTTAGTAATAACTAACAGAAATGATGAAGAAAGTACTTGAACGTGTAATTACTACTGTAGTGGATACTAATAGCAAAGTGACTTATAAGGAGTAAGCGGCGGAGTGTCCAGTCCGAATGTACAGCGCAACTAAAGTGTTTTGAAGACTAGAAGACACATGGGAGGAAACAACTGATAATCTACGTGTTTCGTAAATAGAAATCTGAAGATAAAGTAAACACATTTTACCAATAATCTGTGTCTTCACAAAATACAGTATGATACCAACCAACTGGTCTTGACGTCTTCGTTCATTAGGGTTGGTTTACATGCTTGAACTTCAAGTTGACTACTGTCAGTTACAATTAATCAAGAAATATCTTTCTATAGCCAGCATACAAACGAAACAAAAATAACGTGTGTATTTATGCGAAAACCATGTATCAACCATGTATCGATAATTTTAATGTAGAACCGCGAACTTATCTTAGCTAGACCATCATTAGAAATCTGTAAGCATAGGACAGTCGTCTCGTTTTAGTATGTGACTCCTCAGTAATGAGAGTCAATCACCTTTGGTATCTCTCAAGAACGATTAACCTCTAGACCTTTGGGTCGGGACAGAATGGCTTTAATGTCTAACTTCAACCAGTCCATGATCTTGAGCAAGATGTATTCCTGGAGTTCTGATGAGAAGTCGTGACCAGTTGAGTAAGAAACAGTTATCGGTTGCAGGCAATAGATGAAGCTTGTGTTACACCATGGATTGAATAAACTTAAATAGTAACATTATCGGATGCCGACTCAACGGTTGAGAAGGTTAAGCACCCGCTCTTGAGACCGAAGGTCCCTAATTCGGTTTTTGCGTGCAGGGGTCGTGCCTATGCACTGCTGACAAGTCTCACACTATTACGAATCGGCTGTCCAGTACATCCAGGTTTCTGATGATGGTCTATCTTTGATCAGTTTATGGTTTCCAATGAGAAAATAATATAATCTTCTTAGATCTCCTTCCTGATAAATCTCAAACGAAACTGAAATTCATATTATCTTAAATTTTACAAATTAATTACCTGAAAATTATTTACACCAGATGTGTTTGGAGTTGATATTTCTTTATGAATAATTGTTAAAGTACTAACAAATTTTTTTAATGCATTCTCAAGACTCTCTGAAATTGAACTAAAATAAACAAAGATTAATTTACTGTAACATAGAGAATCATTAATTTCAACAGATAATTTAAAAATAATTTATTATAAGTCGATTTGAATTATTTTTTCTGGTTAGCGTTATTTTTTTGGCGAATGAATTTTTTACGGGATGAGGTCGTCACAACCCCACGCTTAAAGCTTTCCCTTTATCTGAGCTTGGGACCGACTGTAGCTCAAGAGGGGCTCCAAACTATGTGGTTCAGATTTGAAACAGTCGTTCACAAGACTGAAGGTCATCGGTTGGATCCTCGAGTGTGGGGTCGTGGATACGCGCTGTTAAGGGACCGCATGCTAAAGCGAAATAGTCTTTTAGTGCTTAAAGGTCTTCACTGGTAGTCTAACATTGATCAGTTTATGATTCTAATGAAATAGATTATTAGTTTGAGAAGTTGAATTTTATAGGTAACCACAGTTAGGTTTTTATCCCCGGTACAATACACCTCAGTATGTATTCATGATTGCAACAATAATCGAACCAAGAATATTCACATCTCATATTTAACGCTTAACCTCTAGACTGATCATTTTTTTGTATTTTACTTGACGATTTTACACCGTAGATATCAAAAGTTTGTAAGTATTAACACGTTAGAACAGCGACTTGCATGAACATCGTTAAAGTAAGCTGGTCTAGGGCTCATATATGGAAAGTTTTATGTATCAGTATCAAATCCGGATACCGCACTCTATAATACTATAGATGCTTATTCGAAATCCAGTTACTATCGACTCAAGCCACATCGGAAAGGTAACCGTAATCTGTAAATGGGGCCGTCAGTTGCTGTAAACAATAATTGATTGAGATGGGCCAAATATATTAGTGCTGTACGTCAGTCATTTGATGCGATGTACTTTTCAATCTCACTCATTCTTTTAGAATAATATTTGTAATATTAAACACTAAGACCACATTGAATGACACTTCAGTGTTCTAGGGGTTTAAGAATTTCTGGGTGAGATTCGGGGTCGTGGGTTTTCTTCCTGAACGAAGGGATACGAGTCGGAATTTTTGAAGAGCTGCAAACTAGGATGAAACGACCATTTAGTCCTTCCAGACATTCGGTGGTACTCTAGCTAAGATAAGTTCATGAAATGTAACTATAAAATCCACTGCCGTTCGTAATACAGTTACTTGATTTATTTAAAAGTGTAGAATATTGAAAGATGTTATTTATGTTGAACACTTTCAAAACAAAGTACAATAGGAAATAAATTTTAAATCACTTACACTAATGCTAAACGATCTCGTCGATAACTATCCATTGGTGAGAATAATATTCCTTGTCGTTCCTAATTAACACATAAATATGATGTTTAGAAAGTATTATATATATATATGTATATATATATATATATATATATATATATCAGATGAAAGATCGATAAATTCAATGCTATGTGTTTGAGATTAGTATTTAGAAAATTCGGATAACCTAGGTATGTTATCTGGCACTTTTGAACAATATGTACGCTGAATCATGCGGGATGTGATAAACCCCAAGAGGATTCACTTCCATTTCATCTTGTTTCACAATCTGAGACGTTATCACTGAGCTATTTGAATAGAAAGTGATCTTTCGTAGTTCTTCAAGTTACTACTTAATACAATAGAACAGTCTTAACATTCATTTTGAAAAATGTGACTTTGCTGTTAGTCGATAGTAGTTTCGAGTTCCGAATGTTCTCCAATTGCACAAATGCTGCTCTTGCTTTACCGATCCGCGACTTCAGATCTGTGGTGCCTCCCCACATACATTTGAGTTCGCTTATATTTAACTTGGCTAAGCCTTTCGATTAACTTATTTAATCAAGCCACTTGTATAGCAACAACTTATATGTACCATTGGCTTTTCTTATTGTGTGGTTTGTATGAGCTGGTACGACTAAACATTGCTTATACCTACGCGCATATTCATCCTTTTCGCTTTAGTGTTAATCTCTTAAATATATCAATGACTCGACATTTCCATATGTATACATACGAACATTGTAATCTTAATAATTCATTCACCAATTCTCCAACTTGCTCGCTGGTATGCTTTCCCTGCTCTGCGTGTTTGTGGTCCGCTGGTCCATTAAGTGGTTTGTCAAAAATGGACGTATTCAACCCCTCGTGTTTGCTTTCTGATTTATAACCCTCAGGCGCTATTTAGTGACGATTGCTAAGACCAGCATATTACGAAGACTAAACATACGTTGAATATCAACCGTCACGAGACTAGTGATACATTGGCCAGCACAGATCCACCTTGTTTATCAACAAATGCTGCTGAGATATGCAAAATGTTTTTTTTACATCTTCCAAAGCTCCTTCGTTAAATGTGATTTGGTTGGTGCATATTTTTTTGTATCAGAGAATCTTCATTTTTCCCTAGTGTAAGCTGAGACCTATTGCTGTCGGGGTAGCTGCTCTACTGGCCGCCTTCTTTGGCATCTGTTGTTGTGTATGTGGTGTAGAAAGGCTAGATCATCTGCCAGGTCTAAATCGTCCAGCTGCATCTAAACTGTCCACCACTATATTCCAAATCGAATAGTTATCCCATCATTCCTATCTTAATTATTAAGTTTGATGAAAATCTCCACCGGAATACATACATATAAATTATTATCATTGAAATGTTTCATGATTATCGGACTTACTTTTAAATTATAACCAATATAATTAGCTCGGCATATTTTGAAAAATACCGAATATTGTATCATTGTCAAATTGGAATGATGTAAACGTGTACTGACAACAGCGTAACGTTTAAACTTCAATGGGCCAGAACAAAGAAATACATATATATATATTCAACAAAAACATAATTCCATCAGAAAGAAATCGGAACAAAAAACTTAATCTCAATGTAACTAATATGATAGGAAAATATTAAAAATGAAGAGAGAGAGGGTGACTAAATCCAGAGCACAGTTTCCAGTTCATGGAGTTAGTAGATGTAGACTACCTTGTTGAAGTCCTCACGATCGATAATCAACATCAGTTATTAAAGATGATGAATGATATGGCTGATAATCGATTGTGACATACTCAAATCTGAACCTTTTTACTTAAGATACTATATTCCTTGATACATAGTTTTTTTATTTGGTGGTATTTCAAATCACAATAGAGAATATTTATAAGTTAGAATGAACACATTGGAGATATCTTAAACGAGAAGCCTCATTGAGATTTCACGTACTGATGTTATTCAGAAAGGTAATGAGAGGTTTATATGTAGGCCATCTAGTTCACGGAATAAAAACTGTTATACCTGGATGATTGTTTAAGTAAATAGTAACTTGAGAACCCAGCTTATGGGTTATTATTGTATACAGTTTATTGAAATCATGAATCGATCATTGTTAGATTTCAGTGAAACTCAACAAACTCCAAAACTGTATAATGAAAAGCACTGAAATGTGCTCATTAGTGACTAGCTTCCTGAGGGAATTCTCGAAGTTCTAGTAAGAAGCCTTATGGCCAGTGGATTCCAAACCTGTCGGGTGTCGGCAATTAACTACTCAAGACGATGTGTTGGATTGATCAGAGTTATAAATTTTCACCATTGGATGCTAGCTCAGCGTTCTAGAGGTAAAGTGTTTGCGTGCGATACCTGAAGAACTGTCTTATTGGGTTTGCAGATACTGATGAGTCCCATACTAGGACGAGACGGTCATCCAGTGCTCCCAGGTATTAAATGGTGGTCTAACAATGATCGATTCATGATTTCAATGAAACTCAACAATCTTCACAGCTATAAGCTTTTGAATAACTCAATAACTATAGTTGCACGATTTATTATTCTTAACCTGTTGATAACTTATCATTCGCAGCCCCTATCTGTTCACTGATGTATAGTTGTTAGTTTCTGTTTATCAGTGTGATGTGATCTGTTTGTGTGTGTGTATGAATACAAAGGAATGTTTGAAATATAATAACGAAAATCTTGAACTAGTGGTGATTGGTCTTTGTTCTTCCTCTTCGACCGTATGGAGTTAGTTTCGGGTGGTCGTGTAGGCATAGTTTAGTGAAGTCTTATGTCCATGTTGTATACAGGTTACTAAAAGATCATCTGTGGTATTGGTTGGTGAAAGTAAGTGAAATACTACTAAGAACTAGATACTAATTATCGATAAGTAGCTTGATATAAAAATATTAATTTTTATACCTTGTACCTTAAGACTAATAGTACCGTTACATGTTAAATCGATTATCATTTTCTGCTTTTTCGAAAAACTGTTTAACATATTGCTTCTTATTGTTGTGTTGTACAGTCGTCCGAGCCTATTACTAATGTACATGCTTTCAATACTCAGATGCAACCAGAAAGCTAGAGGTGGATAGAGGAAAACATAGCACAAATCCATGAAGTCACTGACAAATGGACTGAGCCATCTTGGTAGGTGTAGACAACCTGGTTAGGGTCTGCGAGACAACAGTAACTGATGGTTAGAGACTTTGAATGAAATAACTCAAAATCGTTTGCAACGGCCCTTGTGCATTCATTATTTGTCTTCTCTAATCACCATTGTCTTTCTCGTTTAAAATTTATTTCGCAGGATTATACTTCTTGAGTAGTATTTTCGAACCCTAATCTTCTGCATTATCCCTAATAATTCTACATCTACCACGATGGGAAATGAATTGAAAATTACATCTTCGTGTGCTTATATGGTATGGCAACTTGAACTGATGTACGTGCTTACGAAGTTCTACTTTTTAGCTGACTGATTGACAAGTGCAACCAGCTAATTGAATGAGACAACTTGAGGTGAATAGGAAGCTCTTACTGAATAGGAAAAATCCTATATATATATATATATATATATATATATATATATATATATATATTTCATGAGAAAACAAAGTCACATTTTCAATCAATATCGCATGTCTCTTTCTTTCGTAAGTTCAATCAAATCTTAACGAATAGCGTGCACCTATTAACATCAGGTATTTATTTCAGAGTATCGGTTATTTACTAAAAGCTAATAGTGGTGTCGAGAGATTATCATATTGATAGCAAAATACTTTCCTTGGTCAAACTTCTGAATGATTTGTTCTGGTGGTGTTTCATTCTCTCAGCTGGATGTTTTAGATGTTCTGCCAACAAGTGTCAGATACAGACCACCAATCAACAACTGCCCAATCGGATGGAGAATAGTGGAACAAACAAAACCAAAACATCCAGCTCAGAGAACGAAGCACCACTAGAATCATCCACCTGAGCTACAAATTTTCTCCACCATCTCATGATTTGTTCTGATTAGTGTTTATTTAACAAGTTGGTTTTCTAAGAGATGAACGAACACTATGCCTAATCCTCCTCCTTTATCTGGGCTTCGGACTGAGAGTAAGCCTTAAAAGGGCTTCAGGCATACATACACAAGACAATTGAATAAAAACTTTCACGAACAAACAAACAAACAAACAAAAAATCAACATGTTGCCTTACATTTTTTTGTATTTCAGTATATTTTTCATTGGACATAATTAATTCTTGTGATTCTTCATTGATTTTTTTCTCTAATAATATTGTTGGTGGTTTTGCAATGATTTGATGTTCCCCAGTGAATTGATTAATTTCAAATGTTGTATTTGTAGCAAATAATACTAATTGTGTCATAGCTAATAAATCTGTATAACCTGGTTTAATATCAGTAATCCATAAAATTTGTTCATTCTATGAATATGGAGAAAAAAAATGAATGACTATATGTATATATATATCTATGCAAGACTAATTCAGATTGGTATTTTGTGAATATTTCTGTGTAGTTTGTAAGACGTTATCATGATGAGTTGATATCAACTGAGGAACAATATGAAAAAAAAAACACTATGGAACACTGGATACTTGATAAATCTAAGTTAGGAATTCCTTGACCTTGAATCCTCAAGGCCATAGAGGAAGAGGAAGAACACATTGAGCGCAGAACTGGAAGCAAACATGAAAAGAATCAATAGCGATTGAGTAAAAGTGGAAAGGAAGGTTGGAAAATGATGGTCGGCGGCCTATCCTCTATCGGGGATGGCAGGCGTAATTAAGTAAGCAGGAACTCCAAGAATAGGGCGTACTCACTTAAAAACATTCATAATAATTAGTATAGTTGAGAAGCATATTATCCTAGAATTTTTGAAGTTTTTATAAGTATACGAAGCGTAAAGACCGATAAACAAAACGGTTAGATTTTATGATATCAACAGCGTCTAAATATCCAAATAATTATAATGCTAACAAAATTTATTTTTAAATTTAAATAAAATAGACTAGGTTATAGCATGTGCTCTGTGTAATGTAGTGAGAATAATTACTTGCTGGGAATTATAAGATACACATTTTTGAAACCATGAATCGAGGCTAGATCACTATTAGAAACATGGAAGCACTGGACGGCCGTTTCGTCCTGGTATTGGACTTATCAGCAGTGCGCATCCACGACTCCTGCACCCCGTATGATTCGAAACCAGTACCTTCAGCACTGCGTGCAAACACCTAACCTCTGGACCACTGAGCCGGTATCTAACGGTGTTGATGTCTAACTTGATCGGTTCACGGAGTTGTATAACCCCATACACAGTCTTCGTTAGTTACTGTCTACACCCGAACAGGCTGAACTTCACTGGTCACGACTTTCCACTAGAAGTCGTAGAAGATTCCTAACAGAACTAGTCACTTGTGAGCACGGGTAATAGCATTACGGGGTTGTGAAGATTTTTAAGTTACACATTTTTGTAACCATAATAAGATAGACATTTTCTTGAATTTATGTCCTGAATAAAAAAACAGTATGAGACAAAATTTGTTAGCTCCTTGATAAATGATTTTTGACTTTTAAGTAATTAGTTATGTTCGACTACAGTTTGAACTTTCAAAATACAGTCATTCAACTCTGTTCTGGATTCTAGTTTCCAGGTTTTCCCAATTGCTATTCATTCTTTTGATGTCTGTCTCCAACCCTTGGCGCAGTGTGTGTGGCCCTTAAGGTCTACCTGTTTTCCTTTGGACTTCAGGACTTCAATTTTATGCTTGCGTCGTAATGCAGTTGGTTGATTGCCCTCATATGTATCCTATCCACCTACAACGTTTCTTCCTAATTTCTTACTCAACTGGAATCCAGTTTGTTCTCTCCTACAGAAAGGGCAGCAGATCCGCCTCGTTTATCAATGATGCTGTCCAGATCTTTAAAGGTCTCCACATCTTCCAATAGTTCTACGTCTGCATATTGTGTTGCATCGTAAGATCTTGCATTTTCCTTTATGTATGTTGAGATTTACTGGTTCAGAGGTCCCTGTCATCCTGACCGTTTTCACCTACATTTTGTTGCTATGTGTGAGTATCTTTGCAGTTACCACTTTATCTGCTGTCAATGCCTTAGGTGTTATGTCATCCAGACCAGTTGTTTCGCCACAATTGATTGCCATTCTGATTCCTTAGATTGTTGGTGGATAACGACAATAATATCACTAAGAAGGTAGGCAAACTTCACAATATCCACACTTGGAATCAGTCGCAATCCATTTGACTAGATCCAGTTGAAAGAATAATGTATACATAACTTCCATCTCACTCTCTATCTCTTCAAATACTGTCGAGTACTAACACGTAATGATGGAAGTATCATACGAAAGTATCAAAATATACAACAATTACAGTTGAAAAGTTTCCTGAATTAAGTTTAGAATTGTATCATTTCAATCAGTAAGCAGAAAGGAATTTATGTGATTTAATATAGATATTAGAATTTTACTTTAAGTTAGTCAGATATTATTCTTTTTTTCATGTTCAACCAACAAATACTAACACTAAGATTCATCGGTAACACGTGGCTGATGAACTCCGATCGTTTCGGGTCTGATGAAAGTACCTATTCGAAGTAATGGAAGATAGCTGAGCGAAATCGTGGATGATTAGAAGTTAGAATTGTGCACCAACGGATGTCGCTACACAGATCTAGAGATTAAGCGTTCGAAAGCTATACTGGATGTCCCGGGGTTGAGTCCTATTTGCTGAGTAGAATATATGCAGTAGTGAGGGGTTTCATATCGGTACGAGACGGCTGTCAAATGATTCTAGGTTTTAGGTAAGAACGGTTCATAATTTCAATAAGAGAAATTTTGTATATAGATTTTACTTAGAGCACTTACTTTCTCTGGATGTATAAATGTTAGGAAATCAATACTGACATAACCAAAAACTCCTTTATTGGCCAACAATGAACCCAGTTCCATACTAAGATAATTTACCCAAGGTGGTGACACTGATGACATAGGTACTGTAAACAGAATCAAAGTCATTAAATTTGGGTTTGAATTACTTGTTACTGAATAATTTGCTAGTAGTATATATAGATAACACAATCTTTCCCAAGGCTTTTCTAAACACCTTGTATAATTACGTTCATTATTTATCAAAAAATGAGAATCATTTCAAACTTTTGGATAATTTATATTTAACCTTTCATTTATAGTGATAAAAATTCACTTTACACAAAATTTCAGAATTTAATTCGTCCAAAAATTACCAAAATAAACGAAATAGTCTCCGCTGGACATCTTTTAGGTTAATTGACAGCGTAAGACATCCCTCTAAGCACATTATCAAACTAGAATTAAAGTAAGACCTAGGTACTTCGTTTCGAAATTTAAATCTATCATCCAGAAGCTGATTGCCTAAGAATATTATGACATAACATTTAGATTACTCAGTTGATTGATGATGCGCATTCACTAATTACTTATTTGTAAGTGTGAGATATACTTAAGTGAAGCGAGAAGAACAATATTTATGGAATAAAATAGATTCATTATACTGCAAGGTTTTTCATCATTGTCGGTTAGCGATTAAAAAAGAAATGTAGAATTTTCATGATAGATTGAAAGCAAGGTCGTGCACGGAGGACACTTCACAGACTAGTTCTAAATAAAGATTGGTTTCAGACAAGGTTATTTACTCTCACCATTTGTCTTTTTCCTGGTGGTCGACGGGATTATGAAGAAGTGAATATCTGAGGGGAAGCATGGAAAATAGTGGGCAGATAGGATGCAGCCGGAAAATCTGGACTTCGCAGATGATCTAGTCATCCTATCTCATGCTCAACAGCAAATGCCGGAGAAGAAACCCAGCAAGATCCTCTGATACAACAAAACATACATCAACCAAATCACATTTGATGAAGAAGTATTGAAAGATTCGGTAACCTTTATAGATGTGGACAGCATCATTGATAAACAAGTTGGATTTGATTCAGATGCGAAGAACATCTGGAATTTAAAACAACTGTCTGTCAACAAACACCTAAGTCACAATTTTCAATACAAATAAATGTCAAGACAGTCTAATTGTATGGAGCGGAAACTTGGATAATCACGAAAACCATCATCTACAATATAAGGGTTGCTTACGCAAGGCGTCTTCATCCGTCTGTCAGATACCATCAGCAACAACCTACTGTAGGAGAGAACAGACAAGCTTTCGACTGAGGAATAAATTAAGAGAGAAAGTGCTGGAGGTCGATAGCAAACATATTGCGGAAATCACCCATCTACGTCACGCAGCAAGCCCTAAATTGGAATCTTCAAAGCCAAAGGAAAAGAGGAAGACAAAGAACGCATTACTTGGAGAGTTGGGAGTAGACATGTAAAGAATGTATAGAAGTTGGGTGGAAATGGAAACAAACGTCCAGAACAGAGTTGATCGGAGAATGCTGGTCGCTAGTCTAAGCACCTTTAGGGCTAACCGACTACGTAATATTTATATTAAGATGTTGCGTTAGACGTTTGGTACTCAAGTTAATTAGCTTTCAACATCAACATATCGATAATGATTTAATTTATTAACCAATCAGATAAAACATAGACAAGCGCAGATCAAAGAGGCAATTTAAATAACGAGGCAGACATTGACAGGTTAATGGTCAATAGCAACCAATCAAGATCGAGGTCATCAGAAGAAACTACGAGCCATGCAAGGAGAGATTCAAATACTTGACTCCCACTTGAAATTTGTGCTGATAATGTTGTTCAGAAGAACAATGAAAGCTTCATAGTTCAGAGAATGAAACTTCACCATAGATTATCGATCAAAGTGAAGAGATAATGTTGAAAAGCTTTATAAAATATAATGAATTCATGTAATTCTATTCTTAACACTAATTTTCCTTGCAACTATCGTCACTGCTGACTAGATCCTACCCGACAGATTTCTGATATGACCATGACTAGGCTAAATTACTCGATGTTACAGTACACAAAGACATTCTTTTATTTGACTGTAGTGAAAAACTGCTGATATTTTTTTGTTATCCTTATCAAATTACTCTCATCACCAAATTATTTGCATTGCATGATAGGGTTGTGGAAACCGTTAAGTTACTTTATTGAATTCATGAATTGACCAATGTTAGACAACCATTAGAAACCTGGAAGTACTGAACGACGGCTGTTTTGTTCTGGTATGGGACTCACCAGCAGCGCGCATCCACGACTGCTGCAACCCACAGGATTCGGACTCAAGACTTTCAGTCTTTCGCGCGAACACCTAAGCTCTGGACTACTGAGCCAGTATCTAACGGTGTTCATGTCTAACTTCTATCAATCGGCGGTATTGTACTGACCTATTACTTTTAATGTTGAACTATTAACTGGAACGTTCGTTATTTTTTATCACTTCTAGTACATCTATTGACTTACGATTAACCATTATATGTAATCTATTTCATTGTGATCACTGACTCATAAATTGCTTTCATCGGTTTCAAATATTCATAAAATATTCTCATATATAATAGGATAACGTCTGGTGACAATAAATCAGCCTGGAGCCCCTCTAGGCTTACTTCCGATCCGAAGCGGTTAGCGACCACATCAGTAGAAAACTAACTCGCTAAAAAAACGCATACCAACATACAAATGAACTGAAACTCATATCTGTGTTGCACAATTTGGTTAACATTCGGATTCAGTAGCTAATTGGATAACGTGTTGGGCGTTTAATGCAAAAGATACTTATTTACTTAGTCCCGATAGGAAAATTGACAATGGGTTATAGTTTCATGAATCTTACGAATGTCAAAAAGAACCTTAAAAACAAAACACACCAGAACTTACTTGTTTCTCCCCATGTGTAGAATTTGTCATCCGAATGTAACTGGTCACCACTAGCCACTATACGAACAGTTTCATTTGGAAGTATAGCAATTACAACAGAGAGATTTGTCCATTCATCAACTGGGGGACATGCCTCGATGACACCACCTAATTTTATTTGTTCAAAGAATATTGTAGTGAATTACTTTCGGTTTTAAACAAAATTCTTTACCATTCAAAAAATGAACATGTTTGAAAAAAGAAATGAAAAATGAAATTCAAAATTTCAGAATAAAAAATTAGGACCTTTTTCCAAGTGAGTTCCGGGGATCTAACGTGCCCAACACATTATTAGTAGAGACGGATGGTGGCTAGTAGTACTGGAATCTAAAATGCACGTTTCGTCCAACTTTTTTTGGACCTGTCTGTAGCTACATGCGCCTGTAACCAGAGTTAATGTTCAGTCAGTACTGTTGGACTCAAATGCCACTGTGTTAATCACTCAGCTATTGAGTATGGACAGCTACTGACTTTCTCAATGAACAGAATAAAACGTGTTTCCCGAATTACACTGTTAATCACGGCTCATCTGTGCTTGTGTGTAGGAAAGATTTTTCGTACAATAAGATATTTAATTTTCATTTCGAGAGTATGTGAAGATTGTTAAATTTCATTGAAATTATGAATCAGTTATCGTTAAACTACCAGTAGAAACCTGGAAGCAGTGAATGGCCATTTCGTCCTAATATGCGACTCATTGACAGTGTGCGTACACGACCCCCTTTCACGTAAATCAGACTAAAGACTCAACAATCTGCACAACTCTGTGATGAAAATCATACAAATGTGTTCATTAGTGGCTAGCTTCTCGATGGAACTTCACAGTTCTACTGATAAGTCGTGACCAATGAAGTTGAATCCTGTTGGATGTAGGCAGTTACCTGCCGAAGGCAATTAGTGACGTTGCTTGATACTGTAGACTGATTGAAGTAATACACAAACGCCATTGGATGTCAACTCAGTGGTCAGCAGGTTGAATGCTTGCGTGAAAGACCGAAGGTTTTGGGCCCGGTGCCTGCTCGTGGGGTAGTGGATGTGAAATGCTGATGAGTCCCATACTACAATAAAATGGCCGTCCAATGCTTCCAGGTTTTTAACGTTGGTCTAACAATGATAGATTAACTATTCCAATTATCACATTCTCCTTTTACTCCTTCCTATATGTCAGGATTAGAGGTTAAGGGTTAGAGTTTTCATTACGACCTGACATCAGTTACCCTGCATGAAATGTTTGGTGCCTATATAGATAAATACAAGTGATGGTATCTGATTAGTAAGTGTCGATTCGCATTTTATAATCAATGTACTCAGCATTAAATATGTATGAAGTCATAAGCTTTTACCCTATGAGGAGAAAAAACAATTTCCCACAATTATTTTACATGTTTTAAACAACATACACACGTATTTCTACTACTCGTCAAACGTAATATTTAAATTTCATATAAAAACCTGCTCATCGGATTCCTGATTCTACTCAGCTCGACCTTATCACTATCTTTCACTGAGCTTTCAATATAGCGCGCAAATTCATGACGGGCTATTTCAATTCTGATTGGTTTTTTCAAGGTCATTCATAGGATACTCTTTTTTATCGCACATTCATCACGAATTATTCATTCGTTTGTTCAAGTGCTGGTTAACATGTTTCTACTATAAATTTCTCGTTTCTGAATAACCATATTGACTGACTATTCCACCACTCATTACATTAATTTACTTCCAGGAATTTACATGTTCAATATATACAGTATTCTCATTCATCACTGCTTTGCCTGAATGTTTTTACCTGGTTGTTAGAATGCACATTTTATAACTAATTACTCTCTCGATCTTGCCATTTCCCCTGTGTTCATCATAACATCGACAAGTTTATTAGTTGAAATTCAATGTTAAATAATCAATTCATTAATTCAATTTTTTCTTTTTAAATAATCAATTTTATTCACTTACCATATTTTAAAAATGCTTTCAGAAAACTTTCTGAATCAGTATAAAAACTATTAGGAAATAATTTCAAATGTTTTGAAATTAATTGTGGAACTTCGGATAGTATTTTCACATATGTAGTTTCCTAAGTTTAAACAATGAAAAAGAAAGGAATCATGTGAAGAACAACAAATGTGAATCAGAAATTTCAAAAACTACATTTTTTTTAAGAGTTCAACCATATCCTCTCCATGAGAGTTTTTATTTAATAGATTTTCAAAAATAAAGGAACATGTGTTGCACCAACTAGTGACTAGCTCGGTGAGGAATCTTCTCCGAGTTCTAGTGTGAAGTTGTGACCGGTGATGTTTGACCTGTTCGGGTGTAGACAGTAACTATCGAAGACAGTGTATGGGGTTGCGCATCTCCGTGATTGATAGGAGTTAGACATTAATACAGTTAGGTGCCGGCTAATTGCTACAAAGGTTAGGCGTTTGCGCGCTAGAGCGAAGGTTCTGGGTTCGAATCCCGCGATGTGCAGGATTCGTGGATGCGCACTGCTGATGAGTCCCATATTAGGACGGAACGGCAGTCCAGTGCTTCCAGGTTACTAATCGTGATCTAACACTGATAGGTTCAAGATTTCATATATATATATATATATATATATATATATATATATTTATAGTGTATTTCCAGAAAGTTCTAAACAGGAAGAGATCAAAACATCCAAATTTATGAACATTTTCGATTTTCTGAACAGAAATATATCATAGAATAAAGCTTATATTCATATTTCCCGTCTTTCTTCAACTGTTCACAATTCACAAGATTTTTTACATTCTTTCAATTGTAAGCTTCCATTTCGGCTTTTTCACTGTTGTTATTATCGCTGCAGACTGCTAAATAACGGCAAATTGATCATCTAACCAGTTGCTTATATTTTGTACCACAACATTTCTTAGTCAATCAAGATATCGAGTCGCTAAATCAAGGCATCAGTAATAGTGGTTCAAAGGAAGAAGAATCAAGTTATATCTGTTATAGAGTTCTAAGATATCCCTTGGAAAAGTCTCTTCAGTCGCAGAAATGCCAAGAAAAGTTTGATCCAATTAGTATTGAATAGAAATATCTGAAAATTTCAAAGTAACGTGCCACAATCCTAATTGTATATTTAACTATGCCTCTAACAATAGTTAGTATGACCCCTTTAACTTCCAAAAGTCGATAGTCGTGTATAACTCTATAAATACCCTCATTTTTCCGTATATAAACTAACCCGAGAGTAAAGCGTTTTTTCATACTTCGTGCCTTTTCTATTGTGTAAATTTAGCCTGGGGTTACTTGAATCACTTTATCTGATCTTTAATCTTGTATCCAGTGGTCCTTCTGAATGGGAATTACCAATTTATTCTGCAAGTAGCAAGAGTCGTGGATGAGCACTACTGATGAGTCCCATACTAGTTATGAAACGACCAGTCAGTGATTTCAGGTTTCTAATCGTGATCTAACAACGATTGATTCATAATTTCAATATCAATTTGTTTTCTGGTCCTCAAAGTCGATACAAACAAATAGATTATTAGTAAACTGGAGCCTATTTCTTATTCCATCTAGCTGCAATATACACAGGACATATGTTGAAGCATATCCGTTATTGATAATGTGGATAACTTTGAACGTTTTGTTAACATTTGATTTCATTTGTAAACAACTAGGCAGTGGTTATTTACAAGGAAGTTATTATTTTCTATGGACTGGTATGAATTAATTATCAATGAAGAGTGTGAGAAAAGCATGAACTTAAAAGCAAACTAAACTGTTCTGTGTTGCGCTTGCAGGATTTAATCGTCTACATTTGCTAATATCACGGTGTTTGAGAGTATTTCAGCTAGTTTACTTTTCGCAGTGTTATTAGATAAATATACTTTATTTTTCTTGCATTATACTTATTACATTATGAACTAATTATAATAGAATAAAGCTAATTGCATTGTTCCAATTCTACCACTCATCATCAGTTACATCAATTGCCTGCAGTGTACTCGACCGTAGATGCTACTACAGTGATGTGCGGATCGGGCTTGCCTATAGTGTGAAATATATGTTCCTTTAGTTCCTACCATGCCAGGCAGGTCGATAGGAGAATGGTAAGAATAAAAGCAACAACTGAAGGTTTGAGGGAAAAGTCGGACTGTAGAGAAGTGCGACAGTGGTTAGGTGTTTCCATCTAACAACTAGAATCCGCAACGATACCGCGTTCTCAAAACAGAAGGAAGGGGTTAAAAAGTGTTGACCCTAAAAAAAATGTCACACATCACCTTAACTCTATGGATTTCCTTCTATCGCGCTAAGGATTTTTGACGAACGGAGCTAACAATTCAAAAGCTTTCCAAAAAAAGCTATGCGCTACCGGCCACAAGTATTTGTCTGTTGAGTTCTGCAATCACGCTCCAAGACCGCTAAGACCAACCAACGCTAATCTAATTTCCGTTTCAGGTTCTTCAAGAAATACCCTTCCATGGTGTGGGCAGCCTGAAATACATGTTTTGTTGTGTGCTCGTTTAAAATCTGATTGGACATCAAATATTATGAGCATACAGTCACAGCCTATTGATGAATAAATATGTGATTTCCTTTCCTCTTATTGATTTCTAATCTAGATTCACTCAGTGTGGGGTGCTTGCAATTGTGTGGAATGAAAGCATTCTCCATCGCCTACTCTGATTTTATATTTTAATTGAGAATCGTGTATCCGCCTTGACATGACCAAGTCTCTGAGTAATGAGTACCCCAGTACAGCGACAATATTAATTAGATCAATCATTTCGTCTCATTTTTAGTGTAAAGTTGTCATGCTCGTCTCTATGTATGCTTAAAACTTTCACGTGTTTACCTTAGTCGAAACATCACGAGAATAAAACAATGAACCAGCGTCCAGGTAGGCTACTCTGATCCCTTGACAGAAGTCTTGATATAGTACATAAATTGTATTCTACAAACACTCAGCCAGCACACAATGAATCCAAGCACTCAAATTGCGTCTATTTATACCCCATAGAGACGTCCTTGGGACAGTCACAAAAATAGTACACTAAAATAACACAGTAACCAATCACCACCAAGGATTTTTCCGGTGGGAAATACGAATTCAAGGTCAACCGATTGGTTCATGATATAAATGCAAAATAAAGATATTTATCAAGCAAGTTCTTGGGATCTAACATCTCCAACAAAAGTAAAACTGAGGGGTAAGGATACCTCATTCCAATAAGACCATTTTAACAGTTTTACACTACAATTTAAGTGACATAGAAATTATCTGTCTTTTATAAAACTCATTGACTAATCAATTAATCAATCAATCAATGCTTAATTCGATCAAACACCAATCAATATACCTGAGCCCATTTCTTATTCCATCGAATTGCACCATGCCATTGTCGTTGTTCTAATGCCCATTTAAATGATTGTAAATTTTCTATTGAAATAAAAGCTGTTGCACGTTTATCAATATTATTATGATCAATTTTTAATAACCAATTTTTAATTGGTAAATTTTCTGTAAACAATGATGCTAATGTTTCACATAACTTTAAATATAAATTTAAATTTTATAAAAAAAAACAACAACAATAAAAATTAAATAGATTAGATAATAAAAAAAAGAACTGAATAATAGTTCACTTAAACAAATCAGTTACAATGTTCAATGTTGATTTAATGATGCTAAAAATTTAGGTATATAGATATGATTGTTAAAAGAGGTGAATATTGGAGACTAGTGTAATAATCTTTTCTGGAATTATTTTGATGGACAGTTGTCGATTATAGAATAATCGTGTAATTGTTAGATAAGTAGATTACTGTTATACCATCAATCGATGAACGTTGGACTACCGTTAGAAAATTGGAAGCACTGGATGGCTACTTCGTCCTAGTATGAGACTCATCAGTAATGTGCATCCACGACCCCGGCATGAGAGAGTTGAACACAAGATCTTTGGTCTCGCGCACGAACGCTTAACCTCTAGACTGGGCCAGAACCCACTAGTGTTAGTGTATAACTTCAATCGACCTACGATGTTGCGCGACATTACTGATGATTTCAATGGAAATCAACAATTTCCATAACCCTATGATGAAAATTATCACGTGCTGTCTAGTAACTAGCTCCGAGTTCTAATGAGAAGCTATGAAAAAAGGAGTTCAACCGTGTCAGGTGTAGGACGTTATCAACCGAAGACAATGGATGAGGTTGCAAGATACCATGAGTTTACTGAAGTTAGACATAAACACCATCGGAACTCGGGCCCAGTGGGCTGAAGGTCAAGCATTCACTCATGAAATTCTCGCAGGCAGGGGTTGCGGATATGCACTGCTGATGAGTAATCGCTTACTAGGCTGAGACGACCGTTCAGTGCATCCAGGTTTCCAACGGTGGTTTAACACTGATTGATTCATAATATCAATCAAACTTGACAATTTCCACAACGCTATAACGATGACTAATTATTGTCATGCCATTTGCTATTCCGTAATTATCGTTAATCAATAATGCACAGTTTGCTTCATACTTTGATATGATTGTGTTAAAAGTATGGGTTTCGATTCAGGGTCTGGTGTAGTGTAATAAATATGTGAAAAGAATAGATGGTATATAAACATTTGTACATATTATTTGGTTGCCAAATAGACTATCTTTCTTGCTCTTGCCTTCTATCACTCTAGTAGCTAGCTTGGAGAGTTAACACGTGTTGTGCTTAGATCAGACGGACACAGCACATTTTAACAGACACTCGTTAAAAAGGCGTACCTAAAATTTCAAGAGAACTGATACTTGCCAGACTAGGCGCCAACCAGATTCGTGGTATGATCAGTTACGATTACATTTATATAATCTTTGGAAGGACCAATCTGATTCTAGATAGCAATTTTCTGACTTTTGAGCGAAATTCAATCATCTATTCGGTTGGATAGCACTCTGGCTTTACAGATGATGTCAATTCGTGAAAGAAACCCTAATTCTAATTCCTGATCCAAACTTCCAACCCAGAACCCTAATCCTAATTCTTCACTATAATTTATAACCCTATTTGAACCCCAGTAAGTGATTGAGGTTTCTTAATATGATACAAAGGTCGTCCGTGAATTATAGTCTCCCTCGTTCCTTAATAAATGAGGAAATTCTCAGTTCACACTATACAATACTGACCTTCATTTACATTTGATTGTTTGGCATGCATTGAAATTTCTAATTGTGTTGTATGTTAGAAGGTTATAAGTGTTTTTTACGTAGACGGAATTGTTATACTCATCATCGTCAACAGCAATGTAGAACTTTGCACGTAAGTACATCAGTTCAAGTTGCCATACCACATTAGCACAGAGATATAATTGTCAATTCAAATCCCATAGCAATAGATTTAGTAAAAGTATCAGAAGTAATTGGAGAGATTAGGGTTTGAAGAAGTTATTCAAGAAGTATAATTCAGTAAGGTAAATTTAAAAAGAAAAAGATAGAGGTGATGAGGAATTCAGAGGGTTAGAATTTCATAGAACATGAAGAGGTAAATGCACCTGGGCCATTGCAAACTGTTTTGAGCCATATTACTCAGGGTCTCTAACTATCGATTATTATCATCTTGCGGACCCCAACCAGGCAGCCTACATCTACCAACATGACTCAGTCCACTTGTCAGTGATTTCATGGATTTGTGCCATGTTTTGGTTTGGCCACCCCTAGCTTTCGCCCAAGCTATTCTTATATCGCAAAACATATCTCGACGAGGCAGTCGGTGGTTAGGCATACGCTAAACATGTCCCAACCACATCAACTGATGACATTGTTATACTAAAATGTTAACTCTTCGAATAAGAAATTCCACTAATCGAAAATCAACTTCTTCCTTATTTTGAAGTGTTGCGATAAAGCAGTTAATACATGCAAAGTAAAATAAAAAAGTAGCGAGAAGCCGTGGAGTTTGAATCCTCTCGGGTGTAGACAGTAAATAACGAAGATAATGGATGAGATTGATCAAAGCTAGATATTAACATTGTTGGATGCAGACTCACTGGTGTAGAGGTGAAGCATTCGCGCATGAAACTGAAGATCGTGGGGTCACGAATACACACAGCTGATGAATCCCATACTAGGACAAACCTGCCGTCCGTAGCTCTCAGATTACTAATGGTGGTCTAACAGTGATCATTTCATAATTTCGCCGAAAAAAAATTAAGTCCCAGTTCCACTCTAATGTGATTTAGTCATTGAGCGTGAATAGATAGCGAGACGCTCAAACCTTATCACTCTTTACCAATCGATTAAACTCATACATTAGTGATTTTTACTTTGATCTCATTAAGAGAGTAGGCTATGTTGTCATTTTATTGCGTGAAGTATTTGTCTGATTCTTTATTTTCAGTCGTGTATTTGGTCTAGTGTAGCAGCAGCCTCTGCAGCAGCAGTTCTCAACATACATAAAGGAAAAAGCAAAATTCTCCGATGCAACACAACATGCACCAACCAAATCACTCTTGATGGAGATGCCTTGGAGGACGTTAACACCTTTACATATCTTGGCAGCATCATCGACAACCAAGGTGGATCCGATGCAGATGCGAGGGCACGGATCGGTATCCAAGAGCTGCATTTCTACAATTGAAAAATATCTGGAACTCCAAACAACTTCCAACCAAAACCAAAATCAGGATTTTCAATACAAATGTCAAGACAGTTCTACTGTATGGAGCGGAAACTTGGAGAACTACCAAAGCCATCATTCAGAAGATACAAGTGTTTATTAACAGTTGTCTACGCAAAATACTTCGGACTCACTGGCCAGATACCATCAGCAACAGCCTACTGTGGGAGAGAACAAACCAGATTACAGTGGAGGAGGAAATCAGGAAGAAGCGGTGGAAGTGGATAGGACACATACTACGAAAAGCACCAAACTACGTAACAAGACAAGCCCTCACATGGAACCTTCAAGGCAAAAGGAAAAGAGGAAGGCCAAGGAACACACTACGCCGAGAAATAGAGAAAGATATGAGAGGAATGAACAAACATTGGACATAACTGGAGAGGGAAGCCCAGGACAGAGTTGGTTGGAGAAAACTGGTGGGCGGCCTATGCTCCATTGGGGGTAACAGGCGTAAGTAAGTAAGTAAGTAAGTAATTTGGTCTAAAGGGGTCTGTATGAACAAATCTCTAGAGCCAGTCTGTACTATTCTATTGTAGTAGTATAATTATGGTAAACAACAACAACAATAAATATTTTCTTCTATTTCATCGTTATTATATATTACTTATTATTAATTATATTACTTACATGATCCATTGTATAAATATCAAAATCTCCTGGTGGTTGTTCAATTGGCCAATAATTTTTCCCCGCCACTAATTTATTCATATCTTTTTTTAATTTTCCAACACCTTCCATTAATTTATTTGTTCGTGTATCTTCAGTGGGTTTTTTTCGACTACTAATAACAGAAGTGAATAGCGCGGAAGCTTTTGAAATATTTTGATTTTTTGATTCATTTGAAATATCACGATCAGATAATAATGTATCAATGAGTTGTTTTACTAAACGTCTTGTAGTTGATTGTAGTGAAAATAATGCATTTATAGATGGTATAGAATTCCATACTGGTATACCTAAACAATTCGCGACATAGAATACATCTTCATGTTCACCATATCCTGGAACAAGGATAGCTGGACGTGCAGCAATAAAACGACGTATATGTTTCAATGCTCTTGGACTATATTTGAGTAAAGATGCTAAACACATAGGTGATGGTGCATTTGACTAGAGGTTAGAGAAGAAAAAACACAAACGCGAAAATTCATGATGTATGATGTAGAACTTAATAATGGAACATTTTATGAAGTGAAAAATTTTAAATATTATATATCTATACATTAAGCGAACTCTGCCTGGAGCCGTTTTAGGGGTTAATACCGGTCTATAGTCTGGATGAAGGTGGAAGGTTAAGGCATGGGGTTAGTGAGTCCATCTAATAGAAAACCATTTTGCTAAAAAAATCACTAACCAGAATAAATACATTAAACAATTGTAAATTCCTGTAAGGTGTACTTCACGAGATACAGTCATATTAGAATAATGGTGTTGCGCATACACGTAAACACTTCATTGGATATGCTTGAACTATTACGAGTTTACCTCAACGAGAGAGAGGATCGAGGATCCGGTGACACGATATGCTACTATAATCTGATTGTCTCAAAAGAAGAAGACTTGATATGAAGTAGAACATGTAATCCACAAGCATCCAGAAAGTACGAGGTCCAAGCTCAGAGGAGAATCAGTATCTCGGATTGGGGATCGGAGTCTGGGTCCGGGTCATAAAACGTTACAGATAATGCGTATTTATACAGTTAAATCGAATAGAAAGCAACATTGAAGTGTATGACATTGACAGTTAGGACGACCAATGGGCAACAACATTTGAAGCGGCACCGATAGTCAGGACAACCAATTGAAATAGATCGATATAATTAGACTTACAAACAATTATCTTACGATATTGGATGAATACCTTAACAAACGGAGATCTTTTTTGATAACCGTCTAAAATTGAATCGACCAATATAATATTTTATTTTATTAGTGCCTACTACTATAACTCACACTGGCCTTGATGTGGCAATCTTTTATTTAATTACCAATCGATAACAATTGTACTGTTCTTAAAAGTATGTTACAATCTTATAGTTGTTCTACAGTTTGCACTTTTTGCGACTATTTGATAAATGTGGTTTACTATTCTTTTTTGAAATAAATTATGTTTATTTCATATTTGTACTAATTATTGTAATTTTTTAGCATAGATGGATGGTAGCTAGCAGTGGAATCCAGAATGAGCATTTCATTCAGTTTGGAACTTACCAGCTGGATGTGTCAGCATCGCAGAGTTGATGTTCATTCAACGACTCAAACCCAGTACCACTCGTTTCAAACGCCGTCGCATTTTACACTTAGCCACTATGTCTAGATAACCCATCGCTTGTGCAGTCGAGTGATGTTTACCACTGCGATTAATCAGTCTCATTCGGCATATGGGCATCCTATGCTGATAACCTTGATATTTTCTCTATGTTGCAAGCATTATGAGGCAAGGATCAGGATAGAATAGGTTGGAGAATGCTGGTAAATGGCCTATGCTGCATTAACAGGGGTTAGTAAGTAAGTTAATAGGTAAGTACAAGGATTATTAGCAGAGATGTGAACAATAACTCTCAGAGGCAGGTACAACCAGCTACAGACAGAACAAAAACGCGTGTCCTGGATTCCATTGACACCCAATATCTATCTCTGCTAAGAATGTTTATCACCCAAAGGCAATATATCAAGGTGATTCGTGTAGGATGCACATATGCCGAAACACACCAACTAACAATAATCATAAAATAACTTACATGAAAATATTTAATTGCTTCTGGTACAATTATTCTATAACGTGAACTAATGGAACATTGACTTTCTGATTGACCAGTTTCAATTGCTGTACTTAAACCTAACAGTTTGTTATAATATTCTAATAGGTCATCAGATATTGGTACACGTGTAACTATGACAATATCGGTGTTTGAATCTAAACAAAATAAATGAAATATAAATAACTGTTAAGACGTATGATTTAAGAAAATTGTGATAGTTAGAGAGCTATATTTGACATAAATCACTTTGTGTTTTTTTCTCCAATCAACTCGATTCGTAACTTGCGTTTAGCTTTTTAGGTGGTACAATGTTACTTACTGACTTACTTACACCTGTTACACCCATTGGAGGATAGACTGCCGACCACCATTCTCCAACTTCTCTGTCCTCCTCTCTCCTTTTCATTTCTACCCAATCGCCATTCATTTTTTTTAACGTCTGTCTACAATCCTCGGATCAGGTTAAGGTGTTCTTTGGTTGTCCCTGGGGATTCCTAGTGAGGACTTGTCTTGTGACTCAGCTGAGTGCCTCTTCAATATGCGTCCTATCCACCTCAAGTGTCTATTCCTAACTTCTCCCTAAGATGACAAACCGATTCGCTCTCTACCACACTAATTTATTACTGATGGTTTCTAGTCAACGGGTCCTCAGAGTCCTGCGTGGACAACTGCCAATTAAAATCTGTATCTTGTGGATGAAGGCTTTCGTAGTTCACAAAGTTTCCGCTAGAAACAATAGAACTATCTTGACATTTGTATTGAAAATTGTGACTTTGGTGTTTGTTGATAGTTGTTTTTTGAGTTACAGATGTTCTTCAATTGTAGCAATGCTGCCCTTGCTTTGCCGATCCGTGCCTTCACACATCAGATCCACTGTACTCATCCATGAGGCTGCCCTGTTACAATATATATCAATTGCTTAGAAACACAGACAGATGATGGATGACTAGTAGTACAATCCAAAAAGCTTTTTCCGTCCTATTTGAGACTCCTTTATAGTTGGGCGTACTTGGATTCTCGAGTTGATGTTCACCTCGAAACTCGAACCGAATAAGTAACCTTCACTTCGAACTCCATCACGTTATCCATTTAGCTGTGGAGTCCAGATAGCCGCTGGGTTTGAAATGAGGTGAAGTTTAAAACAAATGTATTGATTATTTGAATCTTTCCTTGAATAATTATAACTCAATTTGATCAACTCCGAAGTGAAAATCAACTCTAAAATACAGGTACATGCAGCTACAGACAAGTTTTAATTAGGATGAAACATGTGCCATGGATTTCACTGTTATCCAGGATCTATTTGTGTTTATAATGCTTGTGAACTAATATCGATAGGAAGCCAGATGAGGATGGTCGATTGGAAAATTTGGCAAACTAAATAATATAAATTGTACAAAGTAATTGGTTATCTTTTCTTATAGTGTGATTCGTGGTTTAAGGATAAGTGCATTTTACTTTGGGTGGTCAATAGCTAACACATACCGCATCAAAGTGATTAATGTTGATAAGAAAATATACAACAGCCACTTTTTCATTTGGTAACACAGTTTTTATTATTAACATTTATTTTGATGGGTTGCTGAAATTTTTTCAATTCAGTAGTAGTCAGTATAGTGCTTTATGGAGGTTTATGATTAGTATTTAAACCCATAAACATTGGTGTTAAGGAGCACCTAAACACTTAAATGCAACAAAAGTTGAATTTACGTATAGGATAAGATACTGACCAGGTGCTCAAATCCAAGCAGGTGGTTTCCTTAAGAAGTCATTCTTCGTGTCTTTGACCTACAGATCTAATCCACAAACTAGTGGGGAAACGTTCGGAAATGCACTCACATGGTAGCCAGTTGCCAACAATAGGTTCACATGCTATTCGTTCCCTCAGGATCCTGGAGCTAATGTAGACCATTTGTATGAAATCAGGGATATACGACCCCCCTTAGATGGGCCCCCCTATCCAACCAACCTGGTTATAGCACCAAACACTCGCTTTTTGTCCTCTTGACTTTCTAAATAACACTTCCATGAAAAGGGAGTGAGTTAAAACTTCACTGACGGTGGCTATGTGCCCGTGACCGGATTAGAGCATTTGGAGAGAGAAAGAGAGAGGGAGAACTTTCACCACTCTTCACTGTATTAAAATATCTTGGGGCTTATAAATATTGTCGGATGTTATTTATATCACTAGTTAACGTAAGTTAGAAATTCACCAAAAACCAGGAAGCACTAGATAGCTGTTTTATCTTATGGGATTCTTCAGCAGTGCACATTCACGAACCCACTGGGGCCTGAAACGAGGAACTTCAGGTCTGATCTATGAACGCTTAACCCCTAGACCAGTAACTCGAAATTTTAATAATGTACACATCCATCTAGCTTCAGGCAATTCGTAATACTGCCTAACCATCTCTCATTGTCTTCATTGAGTAACCGTCTCACACTTGACAAGTTTGAAGTCCACCAATCACGACAGTGTCGCAGGTTAATTGAAGTTAGACATGTATACTATCTGAAATCAGCTCTGTGGTTTAGAGGTTAAGTGTTTATTGTGAAACCTGGAGATCCTAGATTCAATCTTCAATGGGGACGTGGTTGTGCACTACTGGGGAGTTTCATACTAGAAGAAAACAGATATCTAGTGTTACATGGATTTCGAATGCAATTAATCATAATACTTACTACGAACTTCACAAATTCTTGCAATTTGTCGACTTTCCATATATTCTAATTCTTCCATACTACCTAGTTGTTGACGAATTGATTCAGAATAGCTTGCAGAGGGTAAATGTACAATAACATGATTATTTTGTTCAAAATGATCCCAATTATTTCCAAGTTCCTTAATAATAAAAGACCAACAAAATATATATTATACAAAAAAATGAATCCACAAGTCAATGACGACAATGAAAGAGAGTAAATAACTGCAATCCATCGACAAAAGATAGGGGTTTGAAACATTGCCAGTCACTCTACTAGTATTCGATCATAAGTGTCTTCGAAGCATTGCTTGTATATCCTGAGGCCGCCAAGAAAGCGGTGCTGCGGGTTAGGAAAGAGTTACTAAGTAACGGACGAAAATATAAATTGATGAAGTAGTGAATATTCATCAGTCGAAATGGTCGGGACAAGTATTACGTCTGCCTAACGACCGGCTACCTTGACGAGAGATGTTATCTGATGTAGGGGTAAGCTGGAAGAAAACTAGGCGACGACAAAACCAAAGCATGGCACAAATCCATGAAATCACTGACAAGTGTACTGAGTTATGTTGGTAAACGTAGATTACCTGGTTGGGGTCCGCGAGATGATAGTATTAGTATCAATGTACTCAATAATGAATAGTTTCAGAACGGTTATCGTTATCTAATAAAGTTAGTTAAGTCGGTCAATATAGGATAATATTTAAGTTATTTTGGTGTCCTGAGATATGACTCCGATTTTGACGAACGACTGAATATCCTATAAAATAAACCTTTCTTTAATTTCTACATGTCATTCTTAGGCGAATTCCGTTTGTATGACGACGATTATTAAAATTCCAATACGACTTTTTGTAGATGAATTTATTTCATTCATTCATGATACAAACCGATAGTATTTTCTATTAGGAGTTATGGAGATCATTGTTTTTACACATTTAAATCATGAGTCAATCATCGTTGAACCATCTTTAGAAACTTGGAAGTACTGCAAAACGGCCTTTATAGTCAAACAAAGATAAGCTAGACATTGTACATACGCACTCAAGTAAAAACAATCAAGGTTATAGGAGAATAACTGACAATGGCTCAGAATATGTATGAATACTAACTCAAGAAAAATGGATTATTTAATTTATCCAAAGTTTGAGAAAAGTCCAGCGGTCCAGAGTTTGAGCGTTTACGCGCAAGACTGAAGGTCCTGGGTTCGGATCCTGCGAGTCACAGGAGTTGTGGGTGCGCACTACTGATGAGTCCCATTCCATGATGAAACGACCGTCCAGTGCTTCCAGGTTTCTAATGGTGGTCTAATAAAGACTGATAGATGATTTCAATGTGCAATAAAATTAACTTATTAGATTGGTATGTGTAGTTGGTATGTGGTACTGGTATGAGCTATTTACTATAAGTTGTATAAATTATTTAATGTGTTCTTTTAAACACTAAAATAGTTTTACAAAATAATTTTTGATTCATCATGAAAAATATACATTTAAAAACTAGATAGAATTTTCTCACTTTTAACCTTTTCTGTGATATTTTTGTACAATATTTTCTTGTATCTGACAATCTTTCTCTTAATTCTTTCATTTTTTTATAACGTATCCATGATGTTGATATGACGGCAGCTGCTCCACGAAGACGTCTGTCATTGAAATAATATAAGTGATGATGATCATTGATTTAAAAAAAGAAATAGAGATGATAAATTTTATATCATTATAAAATCTATTATCAATCAAGTATACTATTAAATTATAAAAGTGATATTTTCGGAAGAAGATTCCGGGCACGGTAACTTCAAGAACTGGTTTATGGATTAACTACATATATATATATATATATATATTACATACTTACTCCTGTTACAGGCCACAGACTAGCATTCTCCGATCTACTTTATCCTGGTTCTTCCTTTTTAGTTCCACCTAAATGTTGTTTATTCTTTTCGAGCCTGCTTCCAACTCCAGACGTTATGTTCTTCAGTCTACCTCGTTACCGGAGACATTGAAGATTCCAAACAAACACCTGTATCTATTGAATGTTGTCTTTCGTCGTTCTCTAAGTGTTCACAGCATACAGTAGAACTGTCTTGAAGTCGATTTTGGGAATTGTGACTTTGATGTCAGTTGATAATTGTTTTGAGTTGTATATGTTGTTCGATTACAAAATGTTTTCCTTGCCTTGCAAATTCGTTTTTATACTTACATAAAACTCACCTTGTTTATAGAAGATGCTAACCAGATATGTGAAGGTTTTCACTTGTTTCAAAGCTTCTCCGTCAAGTATGATTTGGTTGATAAATGTTTCGTTGTATCTGAGGGTCTTACTTTTGTCGTGTGTATGTTGAAGTTTAATGCTGCAGAGGTTGTTGCTACACAGGCCGCCTTTATCTTCACTTGTTGATGTGTGTGCAGTGGAAGAGCTAGGTCATCGTCAAAATCTACATTGTCCAGTTGCATTCTAGTTGTCCACCGTATCTCGTGCTTTCCCTCAGATATCGACGTCTTCATAATCCACTCGACCACCAGGAGAAAGGGAAAGGGTGAGAATAAGTAATCTTATCTGACACCGATATTCCCTTGGAGTAAGTCTGTAAGCTATCTTCCATGCATGATCTTGCAGTCTGATCTATCATAAGAATTCTGTATAATGTTGACCATCTTCTGAGGCACGACATTGTGTCGAAGTATTTTCCATAGTTTAATCCTCTCCACGCTAACATCTTATTTACCGCAAGCTTTTGACGAACCTATTAACTTCTTCAATGCGATTTTCTATTGTTAATCTTATACCTTTTTTGTACATGGTCTCCCCTTTTCATAGCCACTTATTCGATTGTTCATGAGTAATTGCATTGTCTCACTTTATAATAAGATGTGATTTGTATGTTTGCACATAAACTGTCAGCTTGAAGAATAATGATCATCAGAGGCTAGTTGAAGACTTCTGGATTAAAGAGGCAGGTTTGAGAGAACGAAGCAATAGAATCGTGGACTAATAGTGATTTAAGAGTTGAGTCAAGGTTATTCGTGCTAACAATGATACTATAAATGATGTTTCGTTTTCAATAGTTTGATTTACATAAATGCAAATTTAATTCACTTTCAGTACTCCTTTAATTAGTATGAAAGTGGATAGGATATATATATATATATATATATATATATATATATATATATATATATATATATGTCTATATATATGTCTATAAATGAATTCTGAGATAGACCATCTCATCCGGTATATCCGTATCGAGTTAAAAAAAGACCCGAAAATTTTTAAACTCAAATGATAGGAAAGAAAACTTCATTTATGCAAACATCTAAATGTTAACAAATAAATCAAAATAAGGTAGATGAAATATTATATATCATGTTATCGGCTCTTGGGTAAAATCTACAGAAAAGTTTACTAACTAACTCACTTTTGTTCATCATACTGCTTTTGAGCTCGATAACGTCGAAAAATCGACTGAATTTTTATTGCAGCTCTAGTAGGACCTTGTCGTCCTTTAAATGAGGAACCCTAAGGATGGAAATTAAAAAGAAATTATGAATTCCTCGGTTGAAAGAAATCAAATTTAATTTGAGGATGTGTTTCAATTTCTAAAAGACTGGCTTACTGAATTTGTTTACATCGTAGAATTGATATTCAGTCTGAGACTCAAATTCAGTATTATTCTCTATAAATGTCAATGGTTTTTTAGTGAGATTCTGAGTCTAGATAGTCACTAACTTGTTCAGTATAAATGAAGGTATTAGGAAGTGTCTGTACTTTCATGTTGTATACCAACAGACATTGATTAGCTTAAGTTCTAAATAGTAATCACAAAATACTACAAAATCTAACCCATTGAATGAAGTGTTTTCATTCACCTGAATTGATTCCTTATTTTTAAACGAGGCGGATAATAGTTAATGGAGTTGATGGCTCGCGTTTCGTTCTGTTTAAGACTAGTCTGTAGCTGGATATATGTGCATTTCAGAGTTATTATTCACTCCCTGACTTTAATCCAGTACCATTCGTTCGAAACGCTATCGTACTTTATAAACTTAACTACTGAGTTCAGATAGTCACCTGCTTGTGTAGTGGGCTAGTTGTATTAGTTGTTTGAATATCCCGATTGATGTTTAGGACTGCGATTGACTAGTATCTTTGACATATGCCCATCCTGTACGAATTGACTTGATTTAGTACCCTTAGTTTACAAACATCACTAGCAGAGGTGGATAGTGGACTGCAATCGAATCGTGAACACGCGTTTCGTCCTATTTAAGACTTGTATTTAGCTTGATCTACCTACATCTCAAAATTAATGTTCAGTTCATGAATCTATGATTACAATTTTTTCCTCTCATTAATAATACTACTATTACGATCCTTCTTGTTGTACATCTTCCTAATCTTTTTCCTCTGCGTTGATAGTGATGTTAGAAACTTCTTCAGAACAAAATGTTTACTACTGGTGGTCGACTAGACTAAGAAGACATCGATATCTAAGAGAAAGCAGGAGATACAGTGGACATAACTGGACAATGTGGACTTTGAAGGTCACCTAGCTTTTCTTTTGCACACTTATCAACAAATCAAAGAACACATTACGCAGAGAAATGAAGACAGACATCAGAAGAATGAGCAACAGTTAGATAGAACTAGAAAGGAAAGCCTACGACGAAGAAAGTTGGAGAAAGCTGGCCGGTGGCCTATACTCCATTGGATGTAATAGGCCAAGTAAGTAAGTGAGCACGTAAGGATGTAATATTTTTAAGCTTCAACAAAAAGATTAATAATACTGTCATTAAAACAGGACAAAGATTGCAGAAGTTGGAACTGATTTTTTTAAATTATCTTTCACCATAAATTTTGTTGAATTTTAACGAACAAAGACGTCAAAAGTAGGTAGAAAATTAGTACAAAATATGCAAAGTAAAATCATAGAACATTTATTTGCAGTCTGGTAATAACCTTTAGGATGACATTACTCCGCTATGTACTTACTACTTGTAAGTCGTGCAACTAGTGGTACTTACCACAGTGTTATAACTGTATGATTTTATTTATAGTCTCTTCTTATCCTCAGCCATTTAGGTTCGTTTATGTTTAATTGTAATTTTGTATTATATGGGGTAGTGTAATGCGGTGTATAATATATCTATAGGAATAAGCTCACGTAAACTTGAAATGTAGAGGTTGGTTGTTACTTCAAAGTCTGGGGGATAGAGAGGAGCTTGCAAATAATGAACCACCAGGAGCTCATCTATTAACTCAAGGTTTATCATGCTTTTTGTGTGTATAATCATTCAAGTTAGTGAATCCAATATACGAAGACAGTTGGAGCAGATACAGTTTACTACCTAGAATGTGTACACATTCATCAACAGATATCTGCTTTTAGCGTTCTTCTTCCACATACCTCCTAGTCACCAAAACACTTTGATCGCAAAATACATCCGAATCCGATACTCTTTGTTGCGGAAGTAAAACCTCCAAACGACACTCCATTGCATCTCAGTGTATACTACTTATAAATTGCTCTGTAAGTAGTATACAACGCAACGCCGCTCTATCATAACTGCCAATTTTCTATGCATCAAGTTATATCATTAGTGATTATCAATTATTTCAAATTTTCAGTGTAACATTTAATTTTATCTTACTATGATTGTAAAAAGATTAACCTACTGGTTCATTCATAATCCGTCGAATTGTATGAGAATCTTCTACACATGTTAATAAAATATCACTTGTTAAATATTTCAAATTATTTTCATAATCTTTAGCTAATTTCGCTAATCTGTTCAAGGAGAAGGAGAAAAAATTTGTTAAATATTTGACCATTGAACATATAACTGAAATTGATAATTCAAGTAAATTGAATGTTAATTTCAAGATTATCTAAAGGAATTTAGTTCAAACAAGCCAATATTATTGCTTTGTTTCTGATTCCTAATGGAGACATTGGGCCAATGATAAATACAGTCATCAAAATGATAAATGGATCAAGATAGGGCAAGAACTAGCTTGAGTTTTAACGAATGAGATGTATGCCATTAGTGTTTGGAGTTTTCCAAGGGACATCACTAACTTAACTATAAATTAGATAACCGTTGAATGCACTGAACAGAGCTATATGAAGCTCATCAGCCGTACGTAGCTGTGGAGTGTTTTTCTTTGAGACAACTCACTAATCTATCGTAAATCATTGAATATTTTAGTTATTATATATCTTTTCAAACTAACTCAATTCTACATAGCTGAAAATTTTGTATGTTGATCTATACTACTCAAGAGAACACTCAGTAGTTGAGCGATTTAACCGTTTTCAGTACAATGTATGCAGCAACTCATGGTCTCCATTTATGCGCCTATTTCTACCTTCTAGTTTAATTCTTCAAAATGTAAAAGAATTTTATTCTCATAAATCATATATTCTGTATAATTTAATCATCGAAGTTTTCTTCAGGTAGATTTTTTATTGACAGAGGATAGTGCCATTCGACAAATTCTTATGTGACCGCTTGTCTTAACCAAGTCATATTCCCTAATTTGTAGTATATGTTATCAATCACAAACCACGAAAGAAATTATTTTCAAGCTATTCATCTGAATATCTGTACTAGAGTTAAGCCACTGCCAGAGACTTGACTTCAAACCGTTATTAATTAATACTCCTTCATAATGCTTAAGTACTCAAACATTAAAGACTCATTATTATCCGACATTAGAAAATCAAAAGTAATCTTTGAGTATCCACAAAAGTGTATTTTTCAAGCAATAGAACAATCACATCAATCCTAGCAGCGTAGAATGTTTTCAAATATTTGGTGCACAGACCATTGAGCATCCACGACCTCCGGACACGGGAATCGAATCCTAAACATGTGGTCTCACGCTGAACGCCTAGCCTCTAGATGCGCGCTGCTGACAATTCCTATACTAAGGCGAAGCGGTCATTCAGTGCTTTCAGGTTTATATTGGTAGTCTATCAGTGATCGATTCATGAGTTCAATGATAATATAAGTGAATCGATATTGAGTGAAATATGGTGACCTATTTGATCATTGACGGTTGTGGTTGTTGGTAATTGACAAATTCCTAAACTTCCTACACGGATCGTCCTAATAGTCGTCACTAGATAATATCCAACGAATACGAAAGGTTGAAGATGTATATTATGGCATCACGCACAGATCACAAAATCACAGGCAGACGAAGCGAAAATGACATGCGAGTGCCAGAAATGCAGCGAGCGAATAAACAGGATTATATATATATTTATATACACATATAGGAAAATGAATGAGTCATAGATTTGTAGAAACGGCCCACATTAAATTGAGAAGAATGAATATGCATGTAGGTGGTAAGCAACGCTCAAGCTTGAATGCTCATACAAGCACAATGGTACAGATAAGTTATTGCTACACGAATGACTTTGTCTGGTAAATAAGTTAATAAAAGAGGCTTAATAACCAAATTAAACATAAACAAATTCAAATGTATGTGAAGTGCGACAAGTTAATCATATTAATAATAAAATAGAACTTACTTTATACCATTAACAACAGCTACTGATATACCATAAAAATCGAATAAATTTTCAAGTGCACACAAAAGAATTGATATTCTGTAAGAATTAAGGAAAGAATTACGAAAATCACACACAACCTGATCACAAATAACATGCGATATAAAAACATGGACAATTAATTTAGCAGTAGTTTAAATAAGTTAACACTCATGATCTGACACACAGAGTAAAAGCAGAGAGAATCATTTAATAGTCTTGAAATAATTACTATAAGCATTCAGTCGATAAATTTCACTATGTAAATATTTATATTCTCAATATCTGTCAGAATGCGAGAGACCGCTACAATCAATGTCTTTTTGCGTGATAATCAGCTGTTTAACTCTCCATTTAGTTAGGTTTCCATAGATGATATTTTCTGATTACAACCCTTAAGTAATTGAATATTGATCACATAAACATGACTGGTTTATAAAGTTATTAGTGTAAAGTATCGTGTTCATTACTGTTACACTCGTCTCTAGGTATGCTTCAACTATTACGAGTTCACCTTAATCGAATAACGAGAACAAAACAATGAACCAGCGTCCAGGTAGGCTACTCTGATCCCTTGACCAAATCGTATCAGTGAGAAGTCTTGATTTAGTGTAGAAATTGTATTCTACAAACACCCAGCCAGTACACAATGAATCCAAGCACTCAAATTGCGTTTATTTATACCCTATAGAGACGTCCTTGGGACAGTCACAAAAATAACACACTAAATAACACAGTAACCAATCAAAGCCAGGGATTTTGCTGGTGGGAAATGTGATCTCAAGGTCAACTGATCGGTCCATGAAATCAATCCAAAATAAAGATGTTTATCAAGCGAGTTCTGGGGATCTAACCTCCCCAACAATTATCTAAGAATAATATGGGTAATGACTATATTCTAAATTACGTTTATTACAATGCCTAGGCTAACCAACTGTATTCTCCACACAATACGGCGAAATTCTCTTCTCCAAAGCCCAGGAAAGAATCATGGAAAACAGCAAAGGATAACAGGTAATATGCAAGATTTTACAAAACGTAAAACTGAATTTCGAGTAATGCTAAGAACATATAGCCTGTTTATTTAATTAAATCGAATGGAGAACTTTATTCGATATCAGTAAAACATGAGAGAAGATCAATACAGATTCAAAGAGTAACTTACATTAAAATAAATGAGTTTTTTATTACAGAATCTCCTAAGGTACTAACTTCATAGGATCCGGAAAGGACGTTTATTCTTGTTTATATCTCAGGCTAATTAAAACAGTTTGACGTTTGGTGAGATCATTAGCAACAAATTGTCGTTCAGGGAACGACAACAACTCACCCACTCCCAATGGATGTGAATGGGCAGAAATCACAACTAATAAATGTTACGCAATTTCTGATAAAAGATTCATCTACTCTTGGTCTTCTCTCATTTTCTGATCTTCTGAATTCCTCATCATCTCTATCTTTCTCTTTTTATATTTACCTCTATGGATATTACTTCTCGAATCATATCTTCGATCCCTAATGTTTTTGATTACCGCTTAAACTTGTACTACATATACTATTATGGGATGCTAATGTGGTATGACAACAACCTGAACTGATGTACGTACATACCATGTTCTACGTTGTAACAGGCTGACTGACTGAATTTTTGTTAATTTTCCAGTTTATATCAATTTTTGAGTATTGCATGTATAAATTACCAATTATTTACATTTACTTACTTGTCCCAATCTTCAGTAAACTGTGCTTCAAATGCTTGATACTCTTCGGATTGCGTTTGAAACAGTCCCTCTTCTGTAGTTAACCAAAAATTATCGTGGGGTGAACAAGTAGTTATTGGTGTACAAGGAGGAGGCTATGAAAAAAAAAACACATTCAACACAACGATTAAAGTTGATTTCCGGTTAGTAGTTTAATTCAGTACCCTTCTGGGGTTACTGCCGGTTCCAAGCCCAGATAAATAAGAAGGTTAAGTATTGAGTTAACAATCCGATCCCGTGTAAACTAACTTTTAAGAAAAACGCTAACTATAACAAATAATCTAGACGATTATAACTCTGCCCTGGGAGTTGGAACGTTTTTGTTTAGGAGAATGTTAGAAGTGGATAGGACACACGTTGAAGAAATCATCCAACTGCATCACGAAAGAAAACTCTGACTTGGTATCCCTAGGTCCAAAGGAAGAGTGTTAAACCGAAGAACACATAACACCTGGAATTGGAGACATGAAAATAATGAACGGCGATCGGTTAAAACTAGAAAGGAGAATCCAGGATAGAGTTGTTTGGCGGCCTATCTCCTATTAGGGGCGACAAGCCTGATGAATAAGTAAGCTTGATCCAGTAAGTTAGGAGGGAAAATGTGGATCTTATTATTCTTGCTTTTTATTTTGTTTAAACGTGTCACTAAATAATAAAATAAAGACCAGCCGCCAACAGTGTGCGCTTGCTAACAAATACTAAACAGTTGGAATCCGTAAACATCAACAGTAGTAAAATACAAATCAATTTAACAATTAAATGATTGATTATCACAAGTAAGAAACTAATATATAATCTAGATGCAACAATATTTTAGCGTTTTTATTATATGGTTGGGGAGATTGTTGAGTTTCATTAAAATCATTAATCAATCCATCATTAGACGACCATTTTGTCCTACTATGGAACTCATCAGCAGTGAGCATCCATGAACCCCACTCATAGGAATCGGACCCACGACCTTCCATCTTGCGTATGAACCCTTAACCTCTACACCATTGATCCGACATCCAACGGTGTTAATATTTAACTTTAATCAGTCCACAGTATTGCTCAACCTGACGCATTATCTTTTGTAAGTAATTGTCTCATACCCGACGAAGTTGAACTCCACTGGTCACAGTTTCTCTCTAGAACTCTGAGAATTTCCTCACACCAAGCTAGTCACTAGTGAGCTCATACTAGGATAAAACTACCGTCCAGTGCTTCCAGTTTTCTAATAATGGTCTAACAATGACTAATTCTATGATTTTGACATTTTTATCAATTATAACTTACAGTTGCTTTGGAAGATGTTTGCCTTTTTGGTACAGTAGAAGTTTCTGTGATAAATACCTTTAGATTTAAAAAGAAAATGAGAATTATGACTAAAAAAGGTAGTTTGGGTATGAAATGTAAGTATCATCGTCAAAGTTGAATATGATTTGTTTCGAAATAGATTATAATCATAAGTAGAGTATTAAGTAATAAATATTAGGATAGAATAACATAATGGTATGTAATCTCCAAATGACTAACTTACTTATGTCTATTACCCTTAATGGAGCATAGGTCACATCGAACACCGAATTATTTTCCTGGTTAGCGTTTTTCTAGAGAGTTGGTATCAAGGTAGGCTGGAAGAAAGTTAGGGGTGGCCAGACCAAAACATGGCGCAAATATATGAAATCACTGACTACCAGGTTGGTGTCCACGAGATAATAGTAACCGATGGTTAGATACTTTGAATGACATGGCTCATAATCGTTTACACTAGCACAGATGCCTCTATTCTTTGTCTTCTTTCAAATTCTCATCTGAATTCCTCATCATCTTACTGGATATCACTTTTCGAAAAATTTCTTCTACCCCTGGATTCGATTACTGCTAAAACCCCTACTACCTATACTATTATAGGATTTGAATTGACAATCTCTTCTCTCTACACTAATGTGGTATGACAATTCGAAGTGATCGGCTCACGAATGAAATTCTACATTGTAGCTGACTGACTAATAATTGTATTGCATAATTATTATGTAACTGGATTACCAGGTATATATATATACCCTTTTTATCATAAGCTCTCTATTTTCCTATAAATGACTACCATACACTTTACCATTCCTATTTTGTTGCTAGCTTATTATTTACAGTCTCCTCTATCTATTCACTTTCATTTTTGGTTCATTGATCTATAAGAGTTGTTATTATCCATTTATTGATGTGATCCAATCTGGTTTTGTATGTATCTACAAAAATGCGTGGATTTTGAACTGGTTGGTGGTCATTGATATTCTGGTTTTCGTCTTCATTCAGGTCAAGTTAGTACTGAGGAGACTTTTAAGCATAGAGTAGTTGTTCTCTCATTCTTGTTGCATATCGGTTACTCAAACATTGTCTCTGCGTTTTAGTCAAAGAATATAACAGTTTGCATACACAGTCACAAACAAGTGTGGATCACTTATTCTAATAAATTAAAAGTCTGTTCAACAATACGCCTCATTCCTCTACTAATCATAACTATTAAAGACTACTGGAATCAGATGATTAAAACTTCTATGTATTGATTAAAATTTTCAATAAAATGTACTTCAAGATACCTGCTGTTTGAAAACATTTATTTATCTGCTTCCTTTGTTGTGAGTGTTGTCTTCAAATACTTACAATTTTTTAAGAGTACTCTGATCAAAAAGCTGTTGTCTTCTTTAAAACCCTTAACAAATATCACGTGACAAATACAAAACACCAATCAGAATTATGTTTCTTAGTCTCAGTAGTAGTAGTAGCCTTGAGTCAGCTCGAAATTCTTATTGGTCTACAACATGATAGCGCTTAGGTTTTACCACCCTCCCTACCTGCCTAGTCCAGAAGTTCAGACACGATAAGATTTCTCTATATTGCAAGCAGACAGTTTTTTATTATGAAGTATACCAAACACTAGAATATCAACACCATAAAATAAGAAAATAAATTTTTCTTCATAAGAAAGCCAAAAGTGAGTGAGGGAAGATTAAATTATAAACTAGCAATATAGATTAGGAATAATCAATCGTAC